GGAAGGAGAGCGTCCCTGCACAAACAGCCGTCAGACAGACGGACGGACACGGCCGAGCACACACAGACACACTGACACGGAGAGACACGGGCACACGCGCTGGCACACGCACAGCCGGGGACACGGACAGACAGCGGGACGAGGCAGGCGGACGGACAGACACGGGGACCCGCGGCAGCACAACAGCCCCCCCGTGGGCACACACACACGCACGGCCGCACGCCCCGACACGGGTGTGCTCACACGCATCCGCACACGCGTGTGCTCCTCACCCAGCACCCGCCGTGACCCCGAGCACCGGGGAGCTGGGGGGACCCTCACCCCAACCCTGGGCCCCCCCGCAGTCGGGCTGTGGGGGTGAGCCCCCACGCCAGTAGCCCCCCCAACCGGGGCCCGGCTGCTTTTCGGGGAGGGGGGGTTGAAACGCCAGGCCTGTCCCCAGTGCACGGTGTGTCCCCCCCCGCCGCTGCACGGCAGCCCCCCCGTGTGCGGTCCCTCCTCCCGGTGCACGGTCCCCCACGATGCCCGGCAGCCCTCAGACCACCGGTGCTCGGTCCCCGCGGTGCGCGGTATCCCCGAGGCACGACAGACCCTCCTCCCCGGTGCCTGTTGTGTCTCCCCCGCCGGCGCACGGTCCCCACCGATTCACAGCATCCCCACCGCTCCGGTGCGCGGCACTCCCGAGGCGCGGCAGCCCCCGGTGCCCAGGTCCTCCCGAGCCCCCGCCCGGTTCGCCGCGATCCACAGCATCCCCAGCCTGCCGTGCCCGGTCCTGCCGCCCCCGAGGAGCCCCTCCCCGCCATGGCCGCCGCCGCCCTGCACCGCGGCCCTGCGCCTGTTACCTCCGGCGGCCGCGGCCGCACCGGGACCCGCAGCCGCACCGGGAGCGGTGGCGGCGGTGGCGGGCGCGGGGCCGGGCGGCGGCAGCGCTTCGCCAGCGCCAGGCACACACCGACACCGGCACCGGCGGCGCGCACGGCCGCGGGCACCTGCCGCGCCGGCCCCGCGCCCGCGCCGGGAACGCGCAAGCGGGAGCGGGGACACGCGCGGGGGGGAACCGGGGCATCTGCACCGGGATGGGGCACACACGCACGGGGGGCACAGGGAATCTGCACCGGGATCGGGGAATACGCACCGGGAACCGGGCTGGGGGGACGTGCACGGGGGATCGGGCATCTGCACCGGGATCGGGAATACGCACGGGAAACCGGGATGGGGGACATGCACGGGGGACAGGGAATCTGCGCCGGGATGGGGGACACGCATGAGGGACAGGGAATCTGCACCGGGATGGGCGACTCGCACCGGGGACCGGGCGTCTGCACCGGGGACCCGCACCAAGACCGGGGCACGCACCAGGGACCTGAGACACACACCGGGGTCACCCACCGGGACCGGGCATTTCATCCGGGGACGCACAGAGGACCGGGTGTCCACACTGGGGACACACACCGGGACTGGGGATCTGCAGTGGGAACCTGTCCCCGGGCTGGGCACCCACACCGGGGCCAGGCACCCACACCGGGAACACACACGGGACACTGGGGACACACAATGGGGACATGCAGGAGAACTGCACCAGGGACCTGTCCTGGGACTGGCAACCCACCCGGGCCATGCAAGGGGGACCAGCTATCCACACTGGGGACACCCCACAGGGATTAGGGACACACATCAGGAGCGGGCACCCAAAAAGGGGACACCCATGAAGGACTGGGAACCCACACGTAGGGCACTGGGCACAGGGTCCAGAGACCTGTACGGGGACTGGGCACCCACACCAGGGCTGGGCACCCACACTGGGTACACTCACAAGGGCCAGGCACCCACAGTGGGGACATGCACTGTTACCCAGTGCCCATAGTGGGGACATGCATTGGGGCCAGGTATCTACACTGGAGTCACTCATGGGGGAGCAGGGACACACTGGGGACATGTAGGGGATTGGGCACCCGCACTGGAGCCAGGTACCCACACTGGGGACACACACCACGGGGGGCTACCCCCCGGGGGGACCAGCCTGGCTGGGGGGACACCTGGTCCCCTCTTAGGAAACGTGGATCCTGCAGCCTGGTGGGGAAACTGAGGCACAGGAGGTGGCAGGAGGCCCTGAGCCCCAGGGACACACCAGTGCCTGTCCCCCTCAGCCCCGGGGGCTCGGGGCTCTGCCTGTCAAGGGACAGGTTTGGGGACAGATGGGGGGATAGGGGATTTGTCACTCTGGCTGTGCCCACGGCCCATGGAGGGGCAGATCTGGGGACAGATCTGGGGACAGAGGGGTTGTCAGTAGGGCTGTGCCCATGGAGGAGCAGATTTGGGGACAGATCTGGTGATAGAGGGGTTGTAGCTTGGGTGAGAAAATGAAGGGACAGGTTTGGGGACAGGGGAGTTGTCACTGGGTCTGTGCCCGTGGAGGGACAGGTTTGGGGGCAGATTTGGGGACAAAGGAATCATCAATGTGGCCATACCTGCAAAGGGACAGATTTGGGGACATTGGTGTTGTCACTCTGGCTGTGCCCATGGAGGGACAGCTCTGGGGACAGCTCTGGGGACAGGGGAATTGTCATGGCTGTGCCCATGGAGGGGCAGATTTGGGGACAGATCTGAGGACAGAGGGGTTGCCACTTGGACTGTGCCCACTGAGGGTGGTTTTGGGACAGAGGAGTTGTCGCTCTGGCCATGCACTCAGAGGGGCAGGTTTGAGGTCAGGTCAGGGTGGGTTTGGGGTCCGGTTAGGTTGGGTCGGGGGTCCGGGCAGCGATGGCCGCGGTGGCCTCGCAGTGCCACCTGGTGGCCTCGGCCACGCGGCCTGGCGGCCGGGGTGACACCACGGGGGTCCCGGCGGAGGTGGGGGGGAGCATGGGGACACCCACCCTCACCGTCCCTGTCTCCACGGTGCGGGACACGCTCTCCGGCAGCCCACGGGGGCAGGAGCCACCCCCTGCCCATCCCTGCAATGAGCTGTGCTCGGGTCTCGTGAGGGGCTGGCACCACATGGCACAGCTCAGGCACGGAGCAGGGACATGGTGTGGGGACACGGAGCTGGGGCGGGGACATGGTGTGGGGACACGGAGCTGGGATGGGGAGACAAGGAGACAGGGCAGGGATCTGGAGCTGGGACATGACATCAGGACCTGGAGCTGGGGTGGGGACACAGTGTGGGGACAGAGTTGGGGCATGGCATGGAGACAAGAATGCAGGGCAGGACATGGCTCGGGGATCTGGAGCCAGAGCAGGGACATGGAGCTGGGACATGGTGAGGGGACATGGCTTTGTGAGGGGGACATGGAGGGGGGACAGGGCCATGGCCCAGGGACCTGGAGCCAGACTGACCCCCCCTCAGGATCCCTGGAGGACTCAGCCATCAGACGGGGGTGAGCATGGGGGGGGGGGACGACACACCTCAGGGATGGGTGGGGGTCACTTAGGAGCACCGTGGGGACAAGGTCCTGTGCTGGGGGGTGGTCACCCAGATCTGGGGAGGGGACAGACGTGTGTCCCCCAGTGCAATCCCCTGCAGCCCCCCCAGAAGGGCCCCTGCCAGACCCAACAGCCGTGTTTAGTCTGAGGAGGAGCGTGGGTGACCTTCGGCTCCTCCAGCACCCACGAGGGTGAACAGCACGTGGGCCCCGCCACAAGGACACAGCGGGGGGGGTCGGAGGAGGGGTGAACCCTGTGCTCTAAGCACAGAGGGGGTGATTGGCTCTGGAGGGGCAGCTGCCCACTCCCCCTGCCCAGAGGGAGGGGGCACCCCTGGATGGGGGTCTCTAGGGGTAGCACTGCCCTCCTCCTGTGTCCCCACCGCGGGTGGGGGGTCTGGATGCTGGGGAGTGTGTGGGTGGGTGCTGGGGTGATCAGGGGGGTGAGACCCCCACACACGGCAGGGGAGAGGGCTGGGGAGTCCTGGGGTGCTGTGCCCAGACAGACAGACAGACAGGCTGCCTGTAGGGCCCCCACCCACGGGGGACCACCCACACATGCCCATGGCACCCACCCACCACCCACACACACACCACACACACCACACACGGCTCCTCACACGCCCCGACACGGGGACCACACACAGGGACACACATGGCAGAGGCAGCTGGGAGAGCAGCCGGGAACAGACAGACAGACAGACAGACAGACAGACATGCAGACACACTGACACACGGACAGACACACAGACAGGCAGGCAGGAGGATGAACACACGCCCGGGCCACGCACACACGTGTAGGTGCAGGCAGGCACAGACACACACACACACGGACCTCGGGGTGTCCCACGCGGGTGGGCACGGGGCACACGGAGGGGTGTGAGGGCACACGGGTGGGCACACACACAGCTGTGTACACGTGCACATAGACGTGCACGTACGTGTGGATTCCATGTGCATACGCGTGTGGGAATCCATGGACACACATGGATTCTGTGTGTACACGTGTGACTCTGTGCACACACACGTGGAATCCTGTGTGCACACATGTGTGAATCCATAGACACACATACATGGATTCCATGTGCACACACGTGTGTAAATCCATGGACACCAACATGAATTCTTGTGGACATGTGTGTGTGAATGCATGTACACTCATAGGGATTCTATGTGCACGTGTGTGAATCCATGCACACACTCATACACACATACATACGTGCACACATACAAGTGCACACACAGACACGTGTGTCCCCACGCGGCGGGGGGGGCCTCACACCGGTTTCCAATCTCTCCCACGGGCAGCCGGGACCAGTCCCACATCGTGCCCCCTCCCCGTGTTGAGCCCCCCCGGCCCTCGACCCCCTCCCCACCTCCCGATCCTGCCCCCCGGCCAGTGAGTCCCAAATTTCCCCCGCCGCCCGTGTCCGTCCCGCCAGCGGGACCCCCGTGCCGGCGGGGCGGAAGGAGGAGCTGGCGGGGGTCCCTCCTCCATCCCTCCTCCTCCTCCTCCTCCATCCCTCCTCCTTCCTCCTCCCCTCCCCCGCCGCCCGCTCGGTGCCGGTGCCCGGGCAGCGCCGAGCCCCGCCGAGCGGCATGGCCGGGGGCCGGGGGTCCTGCCCGCCCCTGCCCGCACCCCTGCCCACACCGCTGGGGCTCTGCCTGTGCCTCTGCCCGCTGCTGCTGCTGCTGCCCGCGGCCGCCTGGAGCCCGGCCCTGCTGCCGCCCGCCGCCCGCAGGTACCGGCACCGGGGGCACGGGAGTGCGGGCACCGGGATCAGGGGGCACCGGGGCTCTGGGGATCGGGGGGGCAGGCATCGGGGGCTGCGGGGGTACTGAGTACAAGGGGCTCCGAGTACTGGGCGCGGGGGGCACCAGGCACTGGGGGGGCTCTGGTGGTCTGCGAGTACCAGGGGTCTGGGCACCAGGTATGGGGGTAAAGGGGGCATCAGGCAGCAGGGGCTGTGGGTACTGGGGGCTCGGTATACCCGGTATGGGGGCGTCTTGGACTGGAGGGTACTGTCTGCTGGAGGCTCCAGAGGGGCTCTGTGGGCCATGCTGGGGGTTCTGGGGGCTGCTGGGGGAGTGAGCTGGACTTACTGGGGGTACTGGGGGTTGCTGGGTCCAGCAGGACTTACTGGGGCTTCCTGGGGGAGTTACTGGGGCTGGTGGGATGTGCTGGGGCTGCTCTACCGGGGCTGTGGGTTATTGTGCCTGGCAAGACTTACTGGGGCTTATTGGGGTGTTACTGGGGCTAACAGAACATGCTGGTCCGGGGTTATCAGAGCTACCGGGATAAGCGAGGTGCTGGGGCTACTGGGGTGCTGGGGCTGCTGGGACTACTGGCCATACTGGGACTGCTGGGTATATTGGGACCTCTGGGGCTGCCTGGGCATACTGGGGATACTGGGGCTATGGGGGCTGCCCTGGCTCACTGGGGCTACTGGCACTCCTGGGCAAACTGGGGCTCCTGGGTCTACTGGGGTTACTGGGGGCTGCCTGGGCATATTGGGATTGCCGGGCATACTGGAGCTGCTGGGGCTGCCTGGGCATGCTGGAGATACTGGAGCTGCCTGGGTGTAGTAGGGCTACTGGGACTACTGGGCATACTGGAGCTACTGGGTCTGCTGGGGCTGACAGGGCACACTGGAACTGCTTGGGCTACTGGGGCTGCCTGGGCATACCAGAGGTACTGGGGGCTGCCTGGGCAGACTGGGACTGACTGGGCATGCTGGAGCTGCTGGGGCTGCCTGGGCATGCTGGGCATACTGGGACTGCTGGGCACACTGGGGCTACTGGAACTACTGGGGCTGCTGGGGCTGGTGTGGGATGAGTGTCCCCTGCCCCGGGGTCATGCCTGTCCCTGGGAAGTGGCCCAGTCCGGGGGGCTGTGAGGGGCTGTGGGGGGCTGTGGGAGCTCTTTGGGGCTGGGAGGGGGGACTCTGGGGGGCTGTGGCACCCGCCCCAGCGGCCTGGGGTGGCGGCGTGGGGGTTGTTTACAGGAAGCCTTTGGCTCTGGCCGTGTCTCCGGCACCGGATTGCCGGGACCTCCCGGTTCCGCTCGGCTCCGGGAGGGCGACGGGCAGCAGCCGCCTCATTTCCCCTTCCCCTCCCGGTCAAGCCCAGGAAGCTCCCGGCGCCTTGGCATCACCCTGCCCTGTCCCCCCGGGACCCCCCCAGCCCACCTCCCACACCCCTGCTGTTGGCACCGAGGGGCTCACAAACTCCCACTCCACCCCATCCCACCCCATCCCTCCGCGGCGCATCGCTGCCATCCCAAGCCGGGGGCACAAAGCCAAGCAGCTGGTTTTGGGGAATGGGAGTGGGATTCGGAGCCAAGCCTGGCGTGGGCTTTGACCCTGGTGGGCACATGCCCAGCGGCAGAGCCCGGACGCGCTCAGGGCATGAGTGGCGGCCCGGCGGGTGGGCTGGGGTCACGCCAGGCCACGCCGGCGCTCACATTCCGGTGCCTGCCAGCTCCTGCCCCGCTCCCGGGAGGGCATTCCCGCGGGGAAGCGAGCCGGGACCCATCCCCACTCCAGCGGGCATCGCCGGAGCTGGCACCACATCCCGCCCTACGCCGCCCGGGACGGAGCTGGGTACCCTCCAGAGCGGGACGATGCCACCCCGGACCCCACCTTGTCACCGGGAGGGGGGCGGGGGGCAGCGGGAGCGTGGCGACAGCTCCGGCGGGATCTGCGCTTCCATAGCCCTGGCGCGGTGCCCGCCTGGGACGCTGCCCGGCCGGAAAGCCCTGTGCCACCCCGCTGTCCCCCCCGCCCCCGGCACCTCCCAGACAATTGTCCCCCCGCGGCGCCCGCTCGTCCCTGCTGCCACCGCCTCCCTCCTCGCGGCGCTGCGGCGGCCGGTCCCAAAAAGCTCCTTTTTTCTGACCCAAATTGTGCAGCCTTTTGAGTTTGGAGCTGCCGAGGGAACGGCGAGTCCTTCCCGCCGCGCGGGGACACTCGGCGTGGTGGTGGCACTGCTGTGTCCCCCCCGCCAATGTCTGCAGGGGGAAACTGAGGCTGGGGGTGCCCGGGGCGAGGGTGGGCAGAGCCTGGCATGTGGGGCAGAAGAAAGGAGCCTTTGTGTGGGGTGGGCTGGGGGTGCGGGGGGGCTCCGGGCCCCGCTCCAGGCCGGCCGGCGCCAGCGCTGGGTTGGGAATGCAGCAGGAATGTGGGGCCCCGGCTCCCCACACGTGCCAGGGCACAGCTCCCCACGGGCACTCCCGGGGCAGTTCGGATGGCGGGACCCCCACGGTGGCACTGCCACCCCCGCGGTGTCCCCGTGGGGACACAGGTGGCTTTCCCTCGCAGCAACTGGTGCTCCTACACGGTGACACGGACCGTGTCCTGCCACGTCCAGAACGGCACCTTCCTCCAGAGGGTCTTCCAGGGATGCCGCTGGCCTCTGGCCTGCAGCGGGGGCAGGTGAGGGGGCCGCCAGGGTCCCAGGGGAGCAGGGACACCGGGATGTCCCCGGGATGGGGCTGAGGTGCCTCTCTGTGCCGCAGCTACCGCGCCGTGGTGCGGCCGCTCTACAGGGTGACCTACAGGACACTGACGGCCCTGGAGTGGAGGTGCTGCCCCGGACACGCCGGAGCCAGCTGCGAGGAAGGTGGGACACGGCGGGGATGGGGGTCCTCTGCAGGGCTGGGGGGTAGGGGGGGAGAAGGATCCACGGGTGGATGGGATGGCTGGATGAATGGAGGAGGGCAGGAGGGATGGATGTTCCTTCAAGGGTGGATAGATGGATGGATGGATGGGTGGATGTTCCTATGGGTGGGTGGATGGATGGAGGGATGTTCCTGCATGGATGTTCCTGTATGTGTGTGGGATAGATGAATGGAGGGATGGATGTTGCTTCATGGGTGGATGGATGGATGGGTGGGTGGATGGATGGATGGATAGATGGGTGGATGAATGTTCCTCTGTGTGTGTGAATGAGAGGATGGATGGACGTTCCCAAGATTAAGTGGATGGATGAACGGATGGATATTCTCATGGGTGGGTGGATGGAATGGATGGAGGGATGGATGAATGGGTGGGTGGATGGATGGATGGATGGATGGATGGATGGATGGATGGATGGATGGATGGATGGAGGGAGGGAGGGATGGATGGAGGGATGAATGGAGGAAGGGAGGGAGGGAAGTAGGGAGGGAGGGATGAATGTTCCTGTGGATGGGTGGGTAGATGGATGGCTGGTTTTTCCCATGGGTGGGTGAGGGAGTGGATGTTCCTGTGTATAGGTGCCTGGCTGTGCCCGTGGCCAGATGGATGAGTGGACACATGGATGGATGGGTGTTCCTGGATGGGGATGGAATGATGGGTGGGTGGATCAACAGCAAGAGATCCGGGTGGGTGGGTGGACAGACAGGCGAGTGACCCTTGTTCGGCTGGGCAGGGGTGGGTGGGCAGTGGGGACCAGGGTGGGGAACAGGAAAGGCCGATGGATGGGGTGTGGATGGGTGGATGGATGGGTGGATGGATGGATAGATGACGGATGGATGGATGATGGATGGATGGGTGGATGGATGGAGTGTGGATGGGTGGATGGATGGACAGACAGACACTCCTCCATGGGTGGGTGTGGTAGTGCCCACCAGGGCTGTGTGTCCCCCCACCCCGTGTGGCAGATGGGGTGTGGGGGGGTGAGTGGGTGCCAGGCTGTGCCGAGCGTGAGGGGACAGCGCTGCCACCTCCTCACAGGGGGGTCTTTGTCCCCTTTGTCACCACATCCTCCTCCTCCTGCCCCTCCTCCCCCTCCCTCTCCCCCAGGACCCAGCTCTGGCTCCAGCTCTGTGGGATCAGGGGCAGTGGGGAGGGACACCCTGGGGACAGAGGGGTGGTACGGGGGGCCTGTAGGGTGACATGTCCTTTTTCCCCTTTTCCCCCTTTCCCCTTCCTTTTCCCCTTTCCCCCTTCCCCCTTTTTTCCCTTCCCGCTTTTCCTTCCCTTCTTCCTTTTCCCTCTTTCCCCCTTTTTCCCCTTCCATTTCCCCTTTTTCCTCCCTTCCCCCTTTCCCCTCTTTTTTCCCTTTCCCCTCTTTTTTCCCCTTCCCCCTTTTTCCCTTTCTATTTCCCCCTTTTTCCTTCCCTCCCCGCTTTGCCCCCTTTTTCCCCTTCCCCATCTTTTCCCCTTCCTCCCTTTTTCCCTTCCCCCTTTCCTCCCCTTCTTCTCCCTTTTCCTCCTTTCCCCCATTTTTTTCCCTTCTCCCTTCCCGCCCTTTTCCCTCTTTTCCCTTTTTCCCCCTCCTTTTCCCTTCTTCTCCCCCTTCCCCCATTTTCCCCTTTCCACCCCTTTTCCCCCTCTTTCCCTGCTTTCCCCGGGGAGGCAGGACCAGCTGGGTGGAAGCAGCGCTGGGGGAGGCAGGGGGGCTCTTCCTCCTCCTCCTTCTCCTCCTCCTCCTCCTCCTCCTCCCCCCTCCCCGTGTTGGCCGCCGGCCCCACATCTGGCCCCACTTAGTGCTGTCCCCGCAGCCCCGCGGTGGCCGTGCCGGGTGGGGTGGCAGCGTGGGGGGGCTCCGGGAAGGCTCCAGACCCCCCTTTCCTGCCGTGCCGGGTGGCCCCAACCCGCTGTCCCCAGGGTCCCTCGGTGCGGCCGAGGATCTGGGACCCCCCGTGGGGTGTGGACGTGGGCAGTGCCCCCAGGGTTGAGTCCCCCCACACACCCCAAAACCGCCCCTCGGAGCGGGGCTGGGGCCGGGGGGATGTTTGGGGGCCGGGGTTCAGGACCGGGCGGGAGTTGGGGGCTGGGGCTGGGTTTGGGGCTGAAATGGGGGGGTCTGGTCATGGAGGGGGTTATGGGGTCTGGTGTGGGGTAATGATGGGTTTGGGGAGTCTGGGTCAAGACCGTGATGGGTTTGGGGGGTGTGGGTATGGGGGGATTTGAAGGGTCTGTTTTAGGACCATGAGGGGGGTTGGGGGTTTGGGGGTCAGAGGGATCTGATGTGTGGTCATAGAGGGGGTGTTGGGGGGTTCTAGTGTGGGATAATGATGGGTTTGGGGGGTCTGGGTCAAGACCAAGAGTGGGTTCTAGGGGGTGTGGGTATTTGTTGTGTGGTCATGGGGGGATTCGAGGGGTCTGGTTCAGGGCTATGGGTGGGGTTTGGAGGGTTGTGGGTTGTGGGGTCTGGTGTGGGGTAATGAGGGGTTTGGGGGTGTCTGGTTCAAGACCGTGGGTGGGTTTTGGGGGGGTCTGAGACTCAGGGTTATTGGTGGGACTGGGGCACTGAGCCTCACCCAGAGCAAGGATGGGGTCACTACACCCCCCCACTATTTTGGGGTAAGGGACAACAGGCTTTCCTAGCTTTGTGGCCCTTGGGGGGTCTCCCACTCCCCACCCTGACCCCCCTCCTCCTGCAGAGGCTCCCACCTTCCTCACCCTGCGGGACACGGGGCGCCCCAGCACAGCCCCCCGCCGGCCCCCCCTGCGCCCCACGGCCTTCTCAGGTGGGTCCCTCCCCAAAACCCACCCGGGCTGGGCACAAAGGGGCTGGGTGCCACCCCCCCACACCGCCTGTGCCCCCCGATTTCCCCCCCGCAGGGTGCCTGAACTGCAGCCGTGTCGGGGAGCTCACAGCCCGACTCACCACCCTCGAGGCGCAGGTGAGCCCCAATTTGGGGTCTGTCGCCCTCCCCCCTGCCCCTTTTGAGGGGCGCAGGAGCCCTGGGGGTCTCCTGGGCACCCACCCCTGCTGTCTCTGCCAGGTGGCCCGGCTGTCGGTGGCAGAGCCCCCCACTCCAGCAGCACCCAAAGGCGGCCCCCCGGGCCGGGGGCAGCTCTGGGGGTCCCCGGCGGCCCGCGGGAGCCCCGGGGATGACGGTAAGGCAGGGGGACAATGACGGTGGCAGTGCCACCACCTGGCAGCACCCACGGCGCTGCGGCAGCGCCTGGGTGTTGTCAATATATCGATATCTGGGGGGACTCCCTCTTGGACCCCTCATTTGGTGGGGTGAGGGGGCGTGCTGTCCCACCCTCAGTTGTCCCCAGCGGTGACATTGAGCCACCCCGGGGGTTTTGGGAGGGGGTGAGTGATGGGGGGGCCCCCCCCCGAGGGGGTGCCCCCCTCAGGGTGCTGCTCTGTGCAGGGAGACCCGGCCCCAGGGGACCCCCCGGCCCCAAGGGCGACGCGGGAGGACAGGGACCATCGGGAATTCCGGGAGTGAAGGGGCCAGTGGGACCACCAGGTACGGGGAGGGGGACAGTGGGATGGAGGGGGGGACACCCCCCAGATCTGTTGCTTGACCCCAGCTGAGCACCCTCTCTCCTGGCGGGTGGACTTCGGGGGGTCCGTGCAGCGGTTTGGGGGGTTTGGAGAGGCTCCAGGCAATCCTCCTGACCTTCACCCTCCTCTTCCCTGCAGGTCCTCCCGGCCCCCCGGGACCCCCCGGCCGGGATGGGGCCAGGGGGCTCCCCGGAGAGAAGGGACCCCCCGGCCCCCCGGCCCCCAGGCCCCCCGCCCCGTGGGACCGGCGACCCCCGCCTGGTCGAGGCCCAGTAAGGGGGCTGGGGTGGGGGTCCCTCCTGGCCTGACCCAGGAACGGGGCTGGGCTGGGGCAGTGGGGAGGGGGCCGAGCATTGCCCGGGCTGGGGCGGGGTGGAGACCCCCTGGTTGTCATGGGGGTCCTGGGGATGAGGTGGGGGGCAGTTGGAAGAGTTGGAGACCACCAAGTCAATATTGGGATCCCAGGAATGAGATGGAGGGCACTGGGAAAAGCTGGGGACCCCCAGGTCAACATTGGGATCCCAGGGATGAGATGGGGGGCACTGGGAAAAGCTGGGGACCCCCCTAACACCAGTGGGATCCCAGGGAGGAGGTGGAAAGTGCTGGGCAGAGTTAGGGACCCCCAGACCAACACTGGCCCCCCTGGGACAAGCTGTGGGGGCCTGGATGACACTGGGGGACCCCCCTACCAACATTGGTGTCCCAGGTGTGGGGCAGAGCAGGGGAGGGGTCTGGGGTCAGACCCCACCCCCCCAGGCCAGCCCCCTGCCCACCGCCCCCACCACTCTCCCCTCACAGGGGACCCTCTCCTCTCCAACACCTTCACCGAACACACCAGGAGCATCGTGGGGCCCGTGGGCCCCCGGACCAGTGGGGCCCATGGGTGAGTGTGTCCCCCTCTCCAATCCCCCAAACCCCCTTGGGGGTGCCCCGGGGCCGAGCTGAGCTGTGCCCCTCTCCCGCAGGTCCCCCGGCCCCCGGGCCCCATCAGGTCCCCGGCCCCCGGACCCCATGTAAGTACTGGGGTGGGGGCGGGCACGGGGGGGTCGGACCCCCGGGGTGTCCCCTCCCCCCAGGGGGATGTCACCCACCTTGTCCCTGCACAGGGAAGAGCCGGAGACCCCGGAGCTGCGGGTCCCCCCGGGGAGAAGGGGGACAGGGTGAGTCCTCCCAGCTCCCCCTACCAGGGATTTGGGGGGTTCTCAGATACTCAGCCAGCATCACAGAGGGGGTTTTGGGAGTATTTTGGGGTGGCTTTGGGGTGACTTGGGGTGTTTCAGGAGGATTTTGGGGATATTTTGGGATCTCACCTGCTCAGGCAGCAGTCAGTTTTGGGGTTATTTGAGGTGCAGAAGTTTTGGGGGGTGATTTGGGGAGGTTTAGGGTTGATTTGGGGATATTTTGGCATCTCTCACCTGGTAGCAGCTCAGGCACAGTCAGATTTGGGGTGATTTTGAGATGGTCTGGGGTGGTTTTGGGTTGATGTGTTGTGGGTTTGGGGGTGATTCAGGGTGGTTTTGTGGTGATTTGGGGTGGGGTTGGGATGATTTGGGGTGTTTTGGGGGTGATTTGGGGTGGTTTTGGGGAGGATTTAGGGTGAGTTTGAGTGGCTTTGGGTTGATTTGTGGGTGGTTTGGGGGTGAGATGGAGTGGTTTTGTGGTGATTTGGGGTGGGTTTTGGGATGATTTGGGGTGTGTTCGGGGTGGTTTGGGGGTGCTTTCAGAGTGTTTTGGGCTGCTTTAAGGTGGTTTTGGGGTGACCTGCTGGCACCATCCCCGCTGGGGGTCTGGCCGTGACCCCCCCCCCAGGCACTGACAGGCTCTGTCCCCCCGCAGGGTCCCCAGGGCCACCCGGGCAGCCCCGGGCAGGACGGGGCACAGGTAGGTGGGGGGGGGCCCCCTCGGTGCAGCCCCCCGTGCCCCCCGCGCTGCCAGGGCCTCTCCTCTCTGTGTTTCAGGGCGAGCCGGGCCCCCAGGGCGAGCCGGGCCACAGGGGCACTTGGGTGAGTGGCACCCGGGGGTGCTGGGGAGGGGCTGATGGGCGTGGGGGGACTCCTGGACCCCTCCTTGCTCTGCCCTGGATCTCATCCCTGGGACCCCAACGATGGTCTGGGGGTGCCCAGAACCCCAGTGGTGGCACTGGGGGTCCCCTACAGTGCCCAGTGCCCCACACCTCATCCCTGTCACCCCAGTAATGCCCTGGGGGTCCCCTACAGTGCCCAGTGCCCCCCAGCTTGTCCCTGAGACCCCAGTGATGGCACTGGGGGTCCCCAGCTGTGCCCGGTGCCAATGTCACCTGAATGGGATGATGTGACACATCACCAGCCCACTGGTGACCCCGGGGGCAGAGGGTGGGCTCAGCCCCCCCAAGCCCCCCCGGCTACCCCCAGTCCTTCCCCCGGTGTCGCGGTGAGTCGGGGGGTGCCAGGAGTTGGGGGGTCCCCTCCGCGCCGCCCCCGGGGGGGGGGTGGCACAGGGTCGTTGTGGGGGTGCAGGCCCCCCCCCAGCCCTGCCTGTCTTGTCCCCAGGGGGAGGGTTTGCACCAGCTCCGGGAGGCGCTGAAGATTTTAGCGGAGAGGGTTTTAATCTTGGAAACAATGATTGGGCTCTACGGTGAGTAGGGGCACGGGGACCCCCGGGGTGCCCCCCCCTCCAGGGGTGACCCCCATCCCTGCCGCCAGGTCACCAGGTCTCCATGATGTCACGGTGGCCCTTGGCTCGCTGATGTCATGGAGGTTTGGGGAGGGGACCCTCAGCACCCCCTCCCCTCCACCGTGGGGGGACGGGACCAGCAGGGTGACTCCCACTCCAGGGGGTGACCCCCATCCCTGCCAGAAGGTGACCAGGTCCCTGTGACATCACGGTGGCCCTTGGCCACCACACGGTGACATCATGGCCGGCACTGGGGACCACTAGAAGGAAAGGCCACCGGGGTCCCCCCACCTGCAGCCACATCCAGGCACCCCCAAACCCCCCCAGGCACTGCCCACCTCGGGCAGGGACACCTGGGACAGTCTCTGTCTTGGGGACAAACTGGTGTCCCCCTGGGCAGGTGGAGGACATGTCCCCCCATGTTTCAGGGGGGCTCTGTGTGCTGGGGGTGGCAAAGGGAATGTCCCCAGGTAGGGCACATTAATGTCCCCCTGGACAGGTTGGGGACATATTCCCCTCATGTTCTGGGGGGCTCAGCATGCTGAGAGTGGCAGAGGGAATGTCCCCAGATAGGTGACATTAATGTCCCCCTGGATAGGTTGAGGACATGACCCCCTGGACAGGTTGGGGACATCAGTGTCCCCCTGGACAAACTGAGGACATGTCCTCCCATGTTTTGAGGGGATCAGCATGCTGGGGGTGGTAGAGGGAGTGTCCCCAAGTAGGGGACATCCGTGTGTCCCTGGACAGGTTGGGGACATGTTCCCCCATGTGTCAGTGGGTTTGGTGTGCTGGGAGAGAGTCCCCAAACAGGGGACATCGGTGTCCCCTTGGACATGTCCCCCCATGTCTGGAGGGGCTCAGCATGCTGGGGGTGGCAGAGGGAATGTCCCCAAGCAGGGGACATCAGTGTCCCCCTCAGGGACTCCAAGCCAGCTGTGCCTGCCGGAGGGTCCCCACGAGGGACCCTCAGGGATGGAGGGAGGCTGTCACAGTCCCCTGGGACCACGGGAGCCCCCAGGAGGGCACCCACCTGGCAGACCTGGCACCCCCCCCAGCGCACCGGCCCCCCACCCCCGCTGGGGCTGCCCCCCGCCCTGCTGTGCCCCCCGCCCTGCTGTGCCCCCCATGCCACGCCGGGCCCCCCGCGGGGCCAACGCTCTGCTCTGCTCTGCTCTGCTCTCTCCCTCTCCCCCAGGCCAGTAGCTTCCAAACCCTCCTGCGGCAGCAGGCCCGGCTGGAGGTCCTGGCTAGAAGGGTCACCTTGCTGGAAGCCATCATCTGGCCAGGTAACCACCCCCCGCCCCGCCCCGCACGAGCCCGCAGCACCCGCAGCACCCCACGGAGCACGGGGGGCTGGAGCCCCCGGGAGAGGGGCAGGGAGAGCTCCGGGAGCAGGGGAGAGCGTGGAGACCCTCCCGGGCTGAGAACCACGGAGAGACCCTTGGACTGGGAGAGGCATCCGTGGAGATCCTCTTGGATTGAGAGACAACCACAGAGATCCTCTTGGATTCAGAAAGGCAATGACAGAGATCCTCTTGGATTGACAGACAACCATGGAGATCCTGTTGGATTGAGAGAGGCATTCATGGAGATCCTCTTGGATTGAGGGGCAACCATGGAGATCCTCTTGGATTAGAGAAGGGACCATGGAGACCCACTTGGATTGAGAGAGGCAATTGTAGAGATCCTATTGGACTGAGAGGCAACCGTGGAGATCGTCTTGGATTGAGGGAGCCTTCCTGGAGCCTCCCAAGGTTCAAGGGAGACCATGGAGACACTCTTGGATTGAGAGACATGCCCATGGGACCCTTTTGGGACCCTTTTGGGACCAGGAAAAACCCTGGAGCTCCCTAGGGTTGAACGGAGTTTCTGGAGAAGGGTCTCCCAAGGGATACCATGGAACCCCTCTCAATCCAAAGGAGACCATGGGGACCCTCTTGGATTGAGAGACATAACCATGGAGAGACCCTTTTGGACCAGGAGAAACCCCGGAGGTCCCCAAGGTTCAAGGGAGACTATGGAGCTCCTCTCAATCCAAAGGAGATCATGGGGACCCACTTGGATTGAGAGGGAAGACCATGGAGACCCTCTCGGATCAGGGGAAACCCTGGAGCTCCCCAAGGTTCAAGGGAGACCACAGAGCCCCTCTCAATCCAAAGGAGACCACAGAGACCTTTTTGGACCAGGAGAAACCCTGGAGCTCCCTAAGGCTGAGAGGAGTTCCTGGGGAAGGGTCTCCCAAGGGAGCCCCCCTCAAGCCATGGGAGATCCAAGGAGCCCCCCAAGGTCAAAGGGGACGCTCTTGGACTGAAGCAGCTCCCGGAGCCCCCCTTGTCCCCAGGGACACCCCAGTGCCACCCCTGCTGTGCCCAGCTGGGGGTGGTGGGTGACTCCCACCCTTCCCTCCCTTCCCCTCCCTCTCCCTCCCCTTCCCAGCTGCGCTTTCCCGCGGGGAACCCCGGCTTTTGGGGTGCCAGCCGGGGGTGCCAGGCAGGGCTGCCAGCCGAGGGGGGGGCCCCGTGTGGGTGTCCCCAGGGCTTGGGGGACTTCCAGGGAAAAGGGGGGGGGGCACGAACCCCATTCCTGTGGGGCAGCAGATCCTCTCTGGGGGTAGTTTTCTGGGGGCGTTGGTGCCCCCCAGCTGACCCCCCTTTCCTTTCCTCTCCTCCCGCAGAGCCAGAGCCGGGCTCGGGCAGTGCCCCCCCGGGCACGGCGTCGCCGGGGGTGCCCCGCGGGAAGCGTGGTGGTGCCCACCCCTCCTATCGCATCCTCACCCGCCCCCGAGGGCCCTGAGGAGCCCGGGGGGGACCTCCCACGTCCCCCCCCCCCGCACCCGCCGCCGTGCCAGGACGGGCAGGACCCCCCGGCGTGGGGGCACGATGTCCCCAGTGTCCCCCCACTTGGTGCTACCGGTGGCACGGCACCGACCCCCTCCACCCCTCGACGCTTCTGCCCAGGCCCCCAGGGAGGCTCGGGGGGACCCCACCCCTTGTGTGTCCCCCCCACCCCAAATGCAGCTCCGGGGGGTTGGATTCCTGCTCCCGGGTTGGGAGAGGGGTGGAGGTGGGGACCCCTCCCTCGGATGGGGCTCCCGCCGCACCGCGCGCTTTGTCCCCTGCTTTGGGACCCTCGAGGTCAGTAAATGTCCCCAAAGCTGTGTCCTGCCGTGTCACTCGGTGTCATTTGGTGTCCCCGGGAGAGGTGGGGGAGTTTGTTCACCCACAGTGGATGGGCTGGAACAGCGCGGGGGGGGTCCAGGGGTGACAGAGGGGTGGGAGGGGGCACAGGGGATGAGTGGGATGGGATGGGATGGGATGGGATGGGATGGGATGGGATGGATGGGATGGGATGGGATGGGATGGGATGGGGTGGGATGGGGGGACATGCAGGGGCACCCAGGGGACACGTGGCTGTGCCGTATCACCCCTGGGACACCCACCCGTGATGTGACACCCATGGGACACCCACACTGTGCCACCTACAAGACATCCATGCACCCAGTGCCACCCCTGTGAGACCCACCCGTGTCACCCCACCCCTGGGACACCCCCTACTCCATGTGTCACACGCTGCACCCCCACTCGTGGCCTCACGGGACACACCGCCAAGCAGCGTGGTGAGATGACGTCACACCTGGTGTCACGTGTGATGTCACTCGTGATGCCACTCAGCCCCGTGGCAGTGCGTGGGCATCGGGTGCTGCTGGGGACAGCACGGGGGGCACCACCCAGCACCCACGGGGTCACCTGTGACACTGGTGACATCACACACAACCCAGGGCGTCACCTGCAGCATGAAACCTGTGATCACCTGGTGACGTCATGCGCAGCCCACGGTGTCACCTGCTGGCGCTAGACCTGTGACACCAGGTGACATCACACGCAGCCCGTGACGTGACAACCGGGGCGTGAAATGTGGCACCAGCACGAGACATTAGGGCACGCGATGACGTCATTACCCGCCCAGGGCACGCGCGGCCGTGTCACGTCACAGGCCCCCTGCGATGACATCACGCCGCCGGCGCTGACATCACGGCCCCGCTCGCCCCGCGGCCCGAGCACCTCTTGCGCGACGGTCCCTAACGGCCGCGGGCCGTACCATCGCACCGCCCCGCGGGGGGGGGGGAAGGAAGCGCCCAGCGCCGCGGCACCACCGCGCTGCGGCGCGGCGGGCGCTTCCCGCGGGCCCTGCGCTGTCTCTCGCTGTCGGTGGGAGCGGCGGGCGGGCGGCGGAGCGGGCCGGGCCGGGCGCTCCCGGCGCTGCCTCCCCTCCGGTTCTCCCCCGGTCCCCCCCGGAATGGGCGGGGTGGTGCGCGCGGCGGGGCCGGGCGGCGCATGCGCGGCGCGGGGCGGGGCCGGGCGGGCAGCGCGGAGGAGGAAGGCGACAAAATGGCGTCGACGGGTGAGCGGGGCCGGGCGGGCCGGGAGCGGGGCGGGACAGCGGGCACGGCCGCCCAGGGCGCGGCACCGCCGGGCACACCGCCCCATGGGGGCACCGCCGCCCGCCCACCCGCGGCGCCGGCGGCCGCGGGGCTCGGGCCGTGCGGGGCCCGGCCCGCCCCGGTCCCCCTCGCGCCGCCCGCGGGGGCCTCGCCGGGAGGGGCCGCGGGGGCTTCTCCATCGGTGAGGGGGGGTTTGAGCGGCGGCCCCGCCGTGCTCCGACCCTCCGAGGGGTTCCCGGAGCTGTGCGGCCAGCCGGGGGTCCCCCCGCGCCTCCGGCCCTGCCGGGAGCGTGGAACACGGGAAGGGCTTGGGTGGGAAGGGACCTTTGGGATCAGCTCATCCCGCCCTGGCCGCGGGCACCGACACCTTCCGCTAGCCCGGGGTGCGCCAGGTTTATCCAGCCTGCCCTTGGGCACCTCCAGCCATGGGGCATCCTCGGGGAAGTCCGTTCCAGGGCCTCACCACCCTCCCAGTATTCCATCTCTCCCTGCCCTCTGGCAGTGGGAAGCCATTCCCTGTGTCCTGTCCCTCCATCCCTTGTCCCCAGTCCCTCTCCAGCTCTCCTGGAGCCCCTTTAGGCCCTGCAAGGGGCTCTCAGGTCTCCCTGGAGCCTTCTCTTCTCCAGGTGAACCCTCTCCCAGCTTTTCCCCATAGGAAAGGGATGTTTTCCATCATTTCCGTGGCTCCAGATTGATTGGAATAAACCAGGGAATCGTCACAGGAGGAAACACGTTTTTCCACGAGTGCTCCAAGTGGATACAAACAGCTCAAAACTGAGACTCCTCAACTTTGGCAACGTCACCTTTAAACTCCCTTAAAGCCCGAGGTCTGATGTCCCATAAAGAGGATTTCTCATTTTTTCCATGAAGGAAAACATCCCTGGCCATGGAATGCGAGGGAATATCATTCATAGCGCCTTGGAGAGCTTAAAAAAAAAAAAGTAAAGAAATATTTACCAATGGCATTGCCAAAGTGGGGGTTAAACCCATGGCTGTCTTTTCCCTTAATTCATGGAATTGTTCCTGCTGGGAGCTGCTATTTTGGGCTGCTGTTGCACTCCTGAGCCGGGTGAAATTAAAGGATGAAGATTAATTTCCCCCTGGAAATAAAAGCAGGGAGATGGGTTTACCTAAATGATCCATAGTATTATTTTTTTAATTAACGTTTTACGTTTCATCTCGATCCGGGTGAATTAAAAGGGAGGGAGCCCAAATTCCACGGCTGGAATTGAGTCCAGCAGAGGGAGAGATGTTGGGTTTGGGTGGGACTTTGAGGAGGGGGCTTTTGAAGGGGGTTAATTGATGCCCCTGCGTGGAGCTGGAGGCCAAAAGGGGGCTGAAAAATGGGAATTTAATGAGGAATTTGGAAGTTTTGGAGGCAGGGAAAAGAGGAGTGGGAAGGGATGGAGTGGGAGAGAAAAACTGGATGAAGGGATCAGCTATTAATTAACACTCAGGGTTAGCAGACCCACAAAAATTGAATTAAAAAAAGCATAAACCACTAAATTTAACATGGAAAAGGCTACAGCTTGGGAGGGAAGTGGGAATTGTGCCGTGAATCTTGGGATCAGGGAAGCCTTGGGAGAGCAGTTGGGTGTCTCTGTGTCCTGGGAGGTGTTTGGGGCTGCTCCTGGTGTGCTGGGCAAGGTCAAAGGAATTAAGAACTGCCAGGAATTCCTGCTGGGAGCACCATCCAGGAATCAGCTCTGCCAGTGGGGAAGGGAGCAGGAGGAAAAGCTGGGAGCACATGGAGAGGCTGGGGAGGAAAGTTTGAGCAGGGATGAACCCACAGGAGGTTTGTGGGGTGTGGAAAGGGTGTTTGCTGAGTGATTCCCGGAGCTCCATTGCCTTGGGAACAGCGGGATAACGTTCTGTTGCTTCCTCAAATTCCTGTGCAGGGGCAGGAGTTGGGCTGGATGATCCATGGGGGTCCTTCCCAACTCAGGGTAGTCGATGATTCTGGGATAAACTCAGGTTTGTGGCTGAGATCAGCGTCCCCCAGAGGTGTGATGGCAATGGGGACGCTGGAATCTTCTTCCCGCCCAGGGATGGAAGTCTGGGAATGCTGCACTAAATGCAGCTCCTGCCTCTGGCTCAGCTGGGCTGAGCAGCAAGGCCTGAGCTCAGGACTTCCATGATCCTGGCACAGCTGGGATCTGCCTGGTGGCAGTGATGAATTCCTCCCTCGCTCCAGAGGTTGGCAGCTGGAATTGGTGCCTTTGAGGGAAGTGGGAGCCGCAGTCATTCCAAATTTAGCCTCCTAATTGCCCTGTGGATTCATTTGCCATCCCCACCAGCAAACCAAGTTCAGCACAGGCTTTGTGCTTGGATTCCCAGGATTTTGCTTCTTCTCTAAATCAGAGTGTTGACATGGATTGGGGATTTGGGGCGGGAATCACTCCCAGCCTACCAGGCACAAAAGTGATGGAACTTCCCAGCCTTTTATTTGGGTCCTTGAAGGGGAAAGGGGGAACGTGGTTCCTGCAGCCCCAAAACTTCCAACCTGGCCCTTCCAAACCAGGCTGGGAGGTTTGGAAGCCTCAAATCCTTATTTTCCCTTCCTTCCAACCCAGATCCCACCCCCACCTCCTTGGGATTCATCCAAGGTGGCACCTAAATTGGGGTCATCGGAGATGAAACAGCGGCAACAATGAAGGGAAGAGAGGGTTTGTTTCCCCTCCAAAAAGGCCTGAAAAAGGGCATTTACCTTCCACCCTGGGGAAGCTGGAATTCCAGGAGGCAGTTGCAGCTGCTGTGCTCTTCCACTTTTAATTTTATCAAGCCTTCATCGACCTTTTTTCCCCCCTTTTTTTGCAGATTACAGTACCTACAGCCAAGCTGCAGCTCAGCAGGGGTAAGTAGCTTGTCCTCAAAAGATGCCTTAAAAATACATAATAATTGTGCTGTCGGCTTCACTCAGGTACGTTTATCAATCCTCAGGGTCCCCCTGGAACTTTTAGATCCTTTAGAATTCCAGCAGGAACCCCGTTTGGCCGGGTTTTTTTGGTGGGGGGGAAAAAAATTTATCTCGGGACGAGATTCTAAAATGTCTTTCCGTTCATCCCACAGCTACAGCGCCTATGCACCCCAGCCAGCTCAAGGATATGCACAGACCACCCAGGTAAACCACAGGGAAAGGGGTGGAATTGCTCCTCCATCCCCTGTTTGCCAGGAAAATCCGGGGGTTGTCCCAGCCTCGGGATGTTCCGAGCGGCAGCATCAAAACCCCGGGGTTAAAAGTTGTTTCGTGGCAGCTTAAACTGCTTTTTAAAAGGGGAAATAACCTCCAGAAACACCCCTCCCCTTTTTTTTTTTTTTTTGGTGATTTATCCTGGTCCTATAAAAGCCAAATTCTCACCTGGTGGGTATTTTAATCAGAGGTGTAGGAGAGAAAAACCTGGAGAGAAAAAAAAAAGGGGGGGGGGGAATTGCCTTTGTTCATGCTCTCAGTTGGCTGGACTGATAAAAGCCATGATGGTCTGGAAGAGATTTAACTTAATGCTTATTTTTAACCTTTAGAATGCAAGTTACTACAACCACATTTGCCTACCAACTCCAACTATGTTCCCAAAGGTAAATTCTTGTCCTCAAAAAGTCGCTGTAGGTTAATTTTGCTCTCCAGAGGAGGAAGGCAGGTCCAGGCTGGGCATTTGGGGCAGCTGAGAGGAAGGTGAGGGTGACTTTTGGGTTAAAGAAGTGCTTGGAGACACTTTTTGGAGGAGCTGCTGGCAGTTTGTGGGTGAGATGGAAGGGCAGGAGTGGAAGGGCAGGAAGAACAGGCCTCAAAAATATCCTCTGGGGGAGGCTGGAACGACTAAAACCAGCTCATTAAACACCTCAAACCAGCTAATTCAACACCTAAAACCAGCTAGTTAAACACCTAGCCAGCTGAACTCACTTGAACCAGCTAATTAAACACCTAACCAGATAATTAAACAACTAAAAGCAGTTAAACACCTAACCAGCTAAAGTCAACTAATATCAGCTAATTAAACACCTTAAACCAGCTAATTAAACACCTTAAACCAGCTAATTAAACACCTTAAACCAGTTAATTAAACATCTAACCAGCTGAACTCACCTAGAACCAGCTAATTAAGCACCTAAAAGCAGCTAGTTAAACACCTAACCAGCTGCACTCACCTAAACTCAGCCAATGAAACACCTGACAAGCTAATTAAACACCTAAACAGCTAATTAAATATGTAACACCAGCTAATTAAACACCTAAACCAGCTGAACTCACCTAAACCAGCTGAACTCACCTAGAACCAGCTAATTAAACACCTAAATGCAGCTAATTAAGCACCTAAACCAGCTAAATAAATACCTAAAAGGAGCTAAACTCACCTAAAACCAACTAATTAAATACCTAGCCAGCTAATTAAGCACCTAACCAGCTATACTTGCCTAAACTCAGCTAATTAAACACCTAAACCAAGCTAATTAACCAACTAGCCAACTGAATTCACCTAGAACCAGCTAATGAAATACCTAAAAGCAGCTAACTAAATACCTAAAATCAGCTAAACTCATCTAAAACCAGCTAATTAAACACCTAAGGAGTTAAACTCACCTAAACCCAACACCTAAACCCAGCTCATTCAACACCTAAGCAGCTGAAGTCAGCTCTGGCCCATGGGAAGTTGGCAGCATTCCTGCCTCCTGTGCTGAATTCCAGGGGCAGTGCTCTATTCCTGTGGTCCAGGCTCTCCTGCTCCTGCTTCAGGCCAGTTCAGGGAGGCTGAACATGCCCAAAGCTTTCAGCTGCGGGCTCCCAGAGGCCTAAATCCCGTGGGAATGTGGAGGTTGAAGCTGTGCCTGTGTCCCTGGTGGAGCTGGGAGCAGAGCTGGGGAAGGAGCTGTTGGAAGGAGGCCGGAGCTGGCAGGGCATGGCACGGGACAGCTGATGGCACTGCAGGGCTGGAGCCTGGCCTTCCAGCAGTCACCTGGGAGTTAAGATTGGAAAATAACCTCAAGGAAGGGAGAAGTTCAGAGCTGATCCCTTCCTGGGTGCAGGGACACCAGGATGGGAGTGGCATCGCCGGGATAATTCGGGTGTTCCTGCAGATCCTGTCCTTCCGAGCCCACATTGCAAATAAACACCCGCTGGGCACGAGGAACACTCAGGGTGACTTAATTAACACCTTAAATAGGTTTCCTCCAGCAAACACTAAAGGTGGCTTTGGTTGTCCTTGGTGCCCCCACTCCCACCTGCCAAGGAGGATCGCTGGGAGCGCCCAGGCGGTCGGGAAGAGCTGGGAGCTTCCAAGTTCGCTTTGCACAGGGCAGGGGGTGTGTGGTGAGGGGGGGGAAAATCCCTCCCTCCCCCTCCACCCTGGCAGGGAAAATCCCGCTTTGTAACCTCACCGCGGAGCCGAGCCGGGAATCACCACGGCGCCTAAAAACCTACCCCGCTTGGCTCTGGAGCAGCCGCAGCTCCCGTGGGTCACATCCAGGCTGCTCCCAGATTCACGGCTTGGCTTTGTGTGTGTGTGTCCTCCCCCCTCCCCCGGAGCAGACGTACGGGCAGCAGAGCTACGGGACCTACGGGCAGCCCGCGGACGTCAGCTACAGCCAGCCCCAGAGCACGGCCACCTACGGGCAGACCGCCTACGCCACGTCCTACGGGCAGCCCCCGACCGGTGAGACCCCCGGGGGGCGTGGGGAGGGACCAGGAGGATCACCCCGTGGGCAGGGACACCTTCCACCAGAGCGGGTTGCTTTGGGTTTATCCAGCTTGGGATTGGACACTTCCGGGGATGGGGTGGCAACAGCTTCGCTGGGCAACCTGTGCCAGAGCCTCACCCACCCTCACAGGGAACAATTCCTTCCCAGTATGCCATCTATCCACTGCCCTCTGGCAGTGGGAAGCCATTCCCTGTGTCCTGTCACTCCTTGTCCCTCTCCAGCTCTCCTGGAGCCCCTTTAGGCACTGAAAGGGGCTCTGAAGTCTCCCCAGAGCTTTCGCTTCAGCCCTTGGAGTATCTCCATGGCCTCCTCTGGACTCACTCCAGGGGGTCTGTGTCCATCATGGAATGGTTTGGCTTGGCAGAGACTTAAAACTTATCCAGTGCATGGGCAGGGACACCTTCCCCTATCTCAGGTTGCTTCAAGTGTATCCAGCCTGGCCTTGGACACTCCCAGGGATCCAGGGGCAGCCACAGCTTCTCTGGGCAACCTGTGCCAGGGCCTCACCACCCTCACAGCCAGGAATTCCTTCCCCTCTGGCAGTGGGAAGCCATTCCCTGTGTCCTGTCGCTCAATCCCTTGTCCCCAGTCCCTCTCCAGCTCTCCTGGAACCCCTTTAGGCCCTGGAAGGAGCTCTAAAGTCTCCCCAGAGCTTTCTCTTCTCCAGGCACAGCAATCCCAACTCTCTCAGCCTCTCCTCATAGGAGAAGTGCTCCAGCCCTTGGAATATCTCCATGGCCTCCTCTGGACTCGCTCCAGCAGCTCTGTGTCCTTCATGGAATGTTTTGGGTTGGAAGGGACCTTAAAGATTAACGAGTCCACCCCCCTGCCCTGGGCAGGACACCTTCCACTAGCCCAGGTTGCTCCAGCTGGCCTTGGACACTTCCAGGGCTGGGGCAGCCCCCTATAAACATGGATAAATGGACCTGTTCAGTTCTCAGGGCAGTGTTTTGGGGGCTCAGCAGGGCTGCAGGATGTGCTGTGCTCCCAGGGAATGGTGTCCCCAGCTGATCTCCACAACCCCCACCCTCAGCGCTTCCCTGGCAGTCCAGTGGCAGTGCCATGTGCCTGTTCTGATCCTGTACCCTCTCCTGGTGTGCTTCCCACAGTAGCAGGGACCAGCCCAGGTCTGATCCTGCTCACTCTTGCGTGGAAAATGCTGGCTCATCCCGGGGTGGGAGCCCTTGAGGTGTCCCTTGGGGTTGGTGCCGAACACCTCGAGTGCCAGAGCTCCCAGGGGGATCTGCCAGCCTGCAGTGCCCTTTGGCATCTCCACATCCCCGGAATCTCTGCATGGATGCAATCCTGAGCACTGACAGCCGTTAGGGGTGACTCTATTCCCATTATCCCAGCCTTTCCTATGGGATAACCAGCATCCTGACCCCCACCTTTGCTTTGGGGTTTCCAGTGTTCATTAACGTGCTAGAAACTATCCCAACGTGTGCTCGTGGAGCTGGAATTTCCTCCAGAGGAGGAAATGTTTTCTTATGTTTGAAACTACTGAGACATTGTTTAATTAATGTTTATTTAATGTATATTTGGGCTGAATATTCGGGAGCCTTAGAAAGCAGATTTCCTTCCCCAGTGTTTTTTGGGCACCGTGTCCTGCAGATTCATAGGAGAGTCATTATAGACATTCCCAATATCAGTGGGAATTAAATCTTTCCCAAGGCAAGGGAATGCCAGGACACACAGTGGGATATCTGGCTGCAGAAACCACTTAGGAATTCTTCATAAGGAAAAGATGAAGAGCAAATTACTCTCTCCAGTTCAAATTTAAATATTTAACATCTTTTTACACGGATAAGGAAAATTCCTCCACGTGAGAGCCGGGTCCCTTTATCTGGTGTCACTGTGGGTTATCTGTGGGTCTTCTTCCTTTCGTTTGAGAGGATCCAGACAAAACTTGGCAGCAAAAAGGTTTTGTGAACTTCCAAAATTCCTTTCTGAGAAATATTTACGTCCCTTTAGTGTTTCCTACGGATTCCAGTCCCTGAGGGGTCACAGGAAACGGTGCTGTTTATGTTTTTCCTTCTCCCTTAAGAGGAGATTTGCTGCAGGAATAATAATAACAATATTAAGCTTTTTTTTTTTTTCTGCACAGCTGCTTTTTTAAAATTATTTTTTAGGCAAAAAGCTTCATTTTCTTTTCATCCATTAAAAAAACCAATCCAACAAACCAAACAACCAACTCAGGAAGTGGTGAAGCCAAAGATCAGACCTCCAAGTACCTGGGCCCCCGTGCTGGGGCTGTGGCAGGATTGTTGATGTTGTTCTCTCCGGGCACAGAGCCAGGCTGGATTTATCCTTCTCCTCCACCTGCCTCTCCTTGAGAAGCCAGAGCTGTGCAGAGGAGATTTCAACCTCTCTCTCTGCCTCTCTCCCTGCCTTTCACGCTCCAGAAATCCCAGGGTGCTGCCAGGGCCAGACATCCACGTGTCCCAAGAGACGTGCAGTTCCTGTGCTTGAATCCCAATCCATTTTTCTCCTGAGCATCCCTTTTATTTATTTTTTTTTTTTTTTTGAGCAGCGATGTCTGCAATTCCTTAAAGCCAAGTGCCCTTTGGGGTTTTTTTGGGCTGGACAGCCTGGGTTTTGAGTGTTGGTGTGGTCAGGGAAATCCAGATTTTGTGTGGACACACCTTCCCAGGACTCTGGGAATGGCAGAGGTGGTGCCTCAGGTGGAACTTTTCTTCCCAACACTCCAACACATCCCACCCTTCACTGACACCCCAGGAGAGAGTTACCACCCTCCTTCCCTCCCTGGAGCTGTAGGAAAAGTTGTCCTGGAGCCACCCAGTGGCTTTGTTCCAGAGGAAAAGGGTTGGGGAGCAGCTGGATTAGGGATCACTGGGTACCATCAGACCTATGGTCGTGGTTTGCTCTTTAATGTATGAACGGGAATTACAGGAATAAATAAAGAGCATTTAAATGTCCAGGTGTGGATCTTCTGGAAGTGGGAATTGCTCTCTAAAACCAGCCAGTCCCCCCCTTCCCTTTTCCTGGGAGATCTAGGGGGATTTTCTTTAAATTCCTAATGGATTTAGAATTTGAAATGAGCTCAGAGCTACCATAATAACCTGTCATCCCAAAATAGAGTGGAGGGAGGGTCTGCATCCCTGCTCCAGCCCCTCCAGGATGCACAGGCCAAAGAGGAGTCAGCTCTGTGTCAGAATGAATCCCTCTGGAGAGCAGAAATCTCTCTTAATCCAGACTTTTCAGCTGATGTCCTCTGAGGATCAAATCCTGCCAGCTTCCCCTCCACCTGGAGGATTCCTGGACTTCAGCACGGGGTTTGTTTGACTCCCTTTGAGGGAAATTCAAACACTTAAAGCAGTTCTTCTCCTACCTTTTCTTCCAGCAGCTGCCTCAGCTTTTATCTTCCCAGCTGGGAGGGGAGAGAAGTGATGCAATATAAACACCCCCCTCGAACCCACAGCTCTTGAGGCTTCCCACATTGCCTAAACTCAGCTTTGGGTTGGAAATTTAGACCAGGGGGGTGGGAAATCCCTGCCTTGCCTTTGGTGCAAACCCTTCCTGCTCAGCACACGCTCCCGTGGGGGAAATGCTCCATCTAGAGCTGAAGCTGTAAAATTCGAGGTGTTTCTTTTCTCCCTCCCTTTTATCCTATTGCCTGTGCAGAGCCAGGTGTTGGCAAAGCTTGTGCTCCCAGTGACAGCACTGGGAAAGGGGATCCAGCACTGGGAGGACCATCCTGTGTCTCGCCAGTCCAAGAGGAACAGCCCAGGGCAGGGCTGTGGCTGCAGCACACACTGCAGGCTGTGCTTAGGCAAAGAACAGGCTTTTTTTTTTGGGTTGTGGTCAGGCTCTGGCCAGTTAAAATAAGGATTTATTGAACTTCTGGTGTCAGTGCTCCCTGTGGAATCACTGGGGTGGCTCACATGGAAGCGTTGGGGCTGTTCAGATTTGTGTGAGGCTCTAAAAATCATCCTGTTGGGCATCACCCCCTTCACCCTTCTCAGCAACGCTCAGGACTTTGCCTTTCAGAGACCACAAAAGAGGAATAATGACCATAAAACCTGATTTTCTAGGGATTCATTCAAGTTGTTTCCAGGTAGGAGTCCAGTTGACGTTCCCAGGCTGGGAGCCCTGGGATGGGGAGGGGTTTGGGGGGCAGGAGGAGGCAGGAATGGGCAGTTCACAGCCTCGTATCTTCTTTAGGATCCTGAGGGACACCAGAAAGCTGAAGTTTGGGGTGTAGTTTTTTTTTTTTAATAAATCTGCTGCACAAACTTCCTCCTCTCACCCTGTTCCTCTTTCCTGAGCCCTGGGAAGGGCTGTGGTTTTGTGGAAGTGCCTCAGTGCCCTGGGAGGGCACGGTGTGTTCTGCTGCTGGCAGTGTGTTCCGTTTGCAAATCAGGGGATCCACAGAAAATGCTGCAGCACAATTTACCTCGAGGGAAAGTCTGTCCTGAGCCTCCCATGTTTATTAAAGCCAAGAAGTGATGGAGAAGCTGTTATTTTTCACTGGGCCCAGGAATAAGCCTGAGACCAGCTGGCTGCTCCTCGGTTTATATTTTTAGCCAGACAGGTTTTCTAACAATATTTTTAATTGCTGTTTTTCCTTCTAAGTCTCTTTTCCTTAATTTGAAAACTTGCTTGGAAGGCTCTTAGCAATATAAAGCCAGTTAGTTGACCTTTGTGACAAGCCAAATGGTCACTGAATTATACAGGAGCTGTTTTGGGACCTTGGATATTCCTGTCAGGGCAAAATCCCAAAGCTCTGGAGCTTTTTGCCTGAACCAAACTGAAATTCTGAGAAAAGGGAAGGTACAGAAAACATCAGGAGCCGCCTGATGTGTCTCTTTTGACCTTTTCTCTTTACGTGCAAGCAAATGGAAAGTGCTTTTCTTTTGTTTCCAGCATTGCTGATTTAAAATCAGACTTCAGAAATGCCTCCGAGAGGCTTCCCAGGTCAGCCTGGTGCCGTTCTGGGCCTTTATTTTTCAGGAAAAGCTGAAAGGATGGGACTGTACTTGTTAAATCAATTGGATTTCTTTTACCTTGGAGCTGAAGGAGGGAGGGGGGGATGTTTTCCTGCCTTTGTTGAGGAGATGCTGCAGGCCTCAGCCTGCCCTGCCTGTGCTCTCTCTATAAACAATCCTCTGGATGCTGCTTCCAGAAAGTTCCTGGGAGTGGGGCTTTGGGATGCTGAGGGTAGAGCTGGGACTGTGGGCTGAGGCTTCTCAGGGTGGGAGGGTGGTTCTGTGAGGAAAACGAGGGGCTGGTGTGGGTTAATTGGTGATTTTCAGGTTGTCTGAGGTGGTAAAATTGTGTCTGAGCCCTGAGAAACCAGTGACAGAAGTGCCATGGTCCAAAATATTCGGGTCTTACAGGAGAGCTGGAGAGGAACTTGGGAGAAGGGGAATGGCTTCAAACTAAAAGAGGAGATTTAGGTGGGATATTGGGAAGGAATTGTTGGCTGTGAGGGTGGTGAGGCCCTGGAATGGATTTCCCAGAGGATGCCCCTGGATCCCTGGAAGTGTCCAGAGTCAGGTTGGAGCAACCTGGGGTAGTGGAAGGTGTCCCTGCCCATGGCAGGGAGTGGGACTGGATGAGCTTTGAGGTCCTTCCAACCCAAACCATTCCATGATTCCATGGAATACTCTGCTCAGCAGCATCTCAGCCTTCAAGGATGCAGGAATTGATCCTAAACAGGGTGATAAAAGGAGCAGAAGAAATGAGTTTTCTTCCTCCACCAGTGATGGCTCATTTGGGATTGAGGCCATTCCTGGGAACCCTCTGGAAGCAGCTGCCTCCTTGGGAAGCCCCAGGACATGTTTGCTGCTGTATTTTGGGTTCAGGAGCCTCTTGTTCCCCTGGGAGAGCAGGATTTGGGAGCTGCCTGGGCCAAAGGGGCTGGCTGGGCTGTGCCACGTTCCCGACCTGGGGTTTGAGCCCCAGAGAGCAGCGTTGCTGCGGCTCCCATGGAGCTCTTGGGTGAACAAAATCAGGGATAAAGCACTTTGGAGAGCCCTTTTCCTCCCAGCCCCTGGCCTTGGAGGGTGTGGGTTTGTGCCACAGCCAAAACTCGTGCCCAAGGTGGAGCCCAAGAGCCCAGAGTGGGTGTGGGTGAGCTCCAGGTGCCCCCTCCAGCACCCGGCCCTGCTTCACTCCCAGATCCTTGGGGACACTCCTGACTCCTTGAATCCACGTGCTTCAGAGTTTGGCACGAAGATGGGATAAAACCTGAGCCCCCGGGGTGGGGGTGGTTGATGTCCCTGGTTCCCTTGCCCGATTCCTGCTCCCATTCCGTGCCCCGTTCACCTGGAGTGCCCCACCGGTTGTGTGTTGCAGGTTACAGCGCCCCCAGCGCGCCCCCCGCCTACCCCCAGCCCGTGCAGGGCTACGGCAGCGCCGCCTACGACACCAGCACGGCCACGGCCACCACCACCCCGACGTCCTACGCCGCGCCCGCCGCCTACGGCACCCAGCCCGCCTACCCGGCCTACGGGCAGCAGCCGGCCCCCGCCGCGCCCACCAGGTACGGCCTGCCTCGGCCTCAGCAGCCGCCTCCTGCTCCTCATCCTGCTCCTCCTCTTCCTCCTCATCCTGCTCCTGCTCCTCTTCCTCCTTCTCCTCCCATTCCTCCTATTCCTCCTCCTCCTCCCACTCCTTCTGTTCCTCATCCTGCTCTTCCTCCTCATCCTTCTCTTCCTCCTCATCCTCCTCTTCCTCATCTCTTTCCTTCTCCTCCTCCCACTCCTGTTCCTCATCCTCATCCTGCTCTTCCTCCTTCTCCTCTTCCTCCTCATCCTCTTCCTCCTCCTCCTTCTCTTCCTCATCCTCCTTCTCCTCCCACTCCTATTCTTCATCCTCTTCCTCCTCCCACTTCTCCTATTCCTCATCCTCATCCTGCTCTTCCTTCTCCTCCTCTTCCTCCTCCTTCTCTTCCTCTTCCTCCTCCTCCCACTCTTTCTCCTCCTACTATTCCTCTTCCTCCTCCTCTTCTTCCTCCTCTTCTGATCACCCCCAGCTGCACCCACTGCTTTGGTGGCCCCTCCTCCCTCCGTGCCTGTTTACCAGAGTTTTGCTCCCACTGCCTCTGCTCTGGCCCCAGTCTGCCCCTGCCAGATACAACCTTCCTCCTTCTCCTCCTCCTCCTCCTCCTCCTCCTCCTCTGATCCCCCCAGCTGCCCCCCCTGCAGCCCCCGCTCCCTGCCTGTCTCACCACAGCGTTGTTGCCGCTGCCTCCGCCGCGTGTCGGGGCCGGGGGAGCGGCGTGGGAGGGCTGTGCTCCAGCTCTGTGAGTCAGAGCCGTTCCTGGGGGATGAGGGAACAACCACACACAGGAACCAGGCTCTCAGCTCACACTGCAGAGCAGAAAACAGCCCCGGGGGCCCGGGGTCAGGCACGATGCTGGGGGGATGCTCACGCTGCAAACCGTTCCCTTTTTAAATCTCTCCCGTCTGAGCACTGCCTGGCAGATATTTTGTTGGAATTGTTTGCTCAGGGGGTGTGAAAAATTAATGGGAACCTGTTTAATAGTGAGGGAAAGCTGATGTAGTCACTTACCTGGTGTTTATAGCAACCACTGCTCTAAGGAAAGGCAGAGCCTGTCACAGCTCTGGCAGGTCACACTTCAAAGGGATGTGAATTTTCAGGGGGAATCCTGACATTGTAAATAATTTTTACCCAGCTTCTACAGCAAACGTAGCTTCACTCTGAGAAACACTTAGAAATTACAGACTCATGGAATCATTTTGGTTGGAAAAGCCCTCTGAGATCGAGTCCAGACGTTCCCCCGGCACTGCCAAGGCCACCACTGACCCATGTCCCCAAGTGCCACATCCACATGGCTGTTAAACTGGGGGACACATAGAAGGGGCCTTGGGAATCACATGCAAAGGTTTCTCTAATTTCAGGCCTCAGAAGTTAATCCTGCACACAGAATCCCAGCGTGGTGTGGGTTGGAAGGGACCTTTAAAGGTCACCCAGTCCAACCCCAGCATCCTTTCCCTTCCAGGGGGTAAGGTATGTGAGGCAATGTCTGCATGAGCTGGATTCTGACCCGAACAATGGGGCATTTCAGTGCCTGCCTTGCTGGCTGCTTTCAGCTCCTGCTTTCCCAGGGCTGTGCAGAACCAGCTGGAGCGCAGGGCAACGCTGCCAACCGCCTTCCTGGCATTCCACACCCTGCACTCAGCCCCGGAGCCAAGTCTGAGCTCTGATCCCTGGGATGGACACAATCCGTGGTGCTCCGTGCTCTCTGCTCAGGGCACCGCCTGGGCCTTTCCTGGGGTGTGCAAACACCCGGTCACTGAGTGCCAAAATCATCATTATTATGTATTATTATACATTATTTTATGTAGTGCTGCCAGAGCAACTGCCACCCATCAGAGCCAGCTTGTAGTGCTACCCCAGAAAACAGGGGGGATCTTTGCTGCTTCCAGGTGTGGAGCTGGGCACTGACGTGGTTCCATCTTTCTCCCCAGACCCCAGGATGGCAGCAAACCAGCAGAGAGCAGCCAGCCCCAGTCCAGCACGACAGGCTACAGCCAGCCCAGCCTGGGCTACGGGCAGAGCAACTACAGCTACCCCCAGGTGCCTGCCAGCTACCCCATGCAGCCCGTCACCGCTCCTCCCTCCTACCCCCCGACCAGGTAACCCTTCCACGTGCTTGGGAATGCTCAGGGAAAGGCCTTTTCCCCAGGGATTTGAAGCGAAAGACATGGAAAAAGGTGTTCTGGTGTCCTGGGAGGAGGAGCTGTGCCTCTTGTTGTGAGGAGGAGGAGGAGGAGGCAGGATTGAGTGTCCAAGTGTCTCTGTGTGGACAGCTGAAAATGACGACAGGTGTCTTAAGGAATTTCCAACATTTTTTAGTTTTGAGAATTGAGAATTGTTAGGATTTTCCTGGAGTGTGTTGCAGTGACCTCTTGCTGCCTCCTTGCATACATGGCTGGGCTGGGAGCTCCCCTCTGCCCTCAGGTGTCTTTGATGTGACTTCTGAAAGGCTACATTTGGAAATCCTCAAAGCCTGAGCTGCGTGAGGGCACCTTTTATTATCCATCAGGCGAAAATAATTCAGGAGGAGAGCCTGTTACCTGTGCTGCCACTGAGTTTTGCCCTGTCACTTGTGCCTCTTCCCAGAGGTATGAATAAGCTGGGACTGCTCACATGGATGTTGCTTTTACAGCCCTCCAGCCTGGCCTCCATAGGATGACTTTCAAGCCTTTAAAATGATTTACAACCCGACATATGGCTCGTGATTGCGTTGCCTTCCAGCCTCAGGCACGCTTGCCAGGGAGTTGCCTCCTCATTCCCATCTTTCCCGTGCTTTTCTCTTCCAGCTATTCCTCCACACAGCCAAGCAGTTACGATCAGAGCACTTACTCCCAGCAGAGCAGCTACGGGCAACAGAGCTCCTACGGCCAGCAGACCAGTTATGGGCAGCAGAGCAGCTACGGGCAGCAACCCCCTCCCACCAGCTACCCCCCTCCCAGCGCATCCTACAGCCAGGCCCCCAGCCAGTACAGCCAGCAGAGCAGCAGCTACGGCCAGCAGAGTGAGTGGGAGCCCTCAGGGGGAGCCCTGGGGTTGTTCTGGGGCTAAAACTCGGAGATGGGTTGAAGGCTTGTTGCTGGGGTTGGTCCTTTCTCGCTGGAGCGGTGGCAGGTTGGGATAATCCCCTCAGCGGGGTTGGAAATACAGAGCATGAAATGTTTGTGATGAGGAGGTGGGTGAGGAGCTGGGGGGGCTCAGCCTGGAGAAAAGGAGGCTCAGGGGGGACCTTCTGGCTCTGCAACTTCCTGACAGGAGGAAGGAGCCAGGGGAGGGGATCAGGCTCTGCTCCCAGGGAACAAGGAATGGGGTGAGAGGGAACAGCTTCAAGCTGTGCTAGGGGAGGTTTAGATTGGACAATTTGGGAAAATTCCTTCATGGAAAGGGCTGTCCAGCCCTGGCACAGCTGCCCAGGGCAAGGGTGGAGTCCCCAACCCTGGAGAGAGTTAAATCCATGCAGATGTGGCCCTTGGGGATGTGGGTCAGCGGTGGGGGAACAGTTGGGTTTGATGATCTCAGAGGGCTTCTCCAACCTGAATCCCTGTGGAGCTGCTGTTGGGGCTGAGGGCAGATGGAAGGGCTGCGTGTCCCTGACGTGTGTGTGTCCCCCACTTCCCCAGGCTCGTTCCGCCAGGACCATCCCAGCAGCATGAACATGTACGGGCAGGAATCCGGAGGCTTCTCCGGCCCAGGAGAGACCCGGAATCTGAGCGGCCCCGATAGCCGGGGCAGGGGACGAGGGGGATATGATCGAGGAGGCATGAGCAGAGGTGGGCGGGGAGGAGGACGCGGTGGAATGGGGTAAGAGCAAAGCTTTTCTCCTTTTGCCTAATCCTGGTTTACCCATAGGATTGGAAAACGGAAAAAAGAAGGGACTGAAAGGTTGTCCTTCCCGACGGTGCTTCCATGGAGGACATCTCTGTAGCGGCATTGCTTGTAATCCATGGAAGCGTTCTGTCCTGAGGGGGATAGGAGCAGGATGTGTTTGGTTTGTCCTGCGGATGGTTGGGCTCAGGGGAGGGGTAAATTGGGGCCATTGCTGACCTTGGCACTTTCAGCTCCCTTCGTGGTCGCCCCGAGGTGGAACCTCTGTGGGGTTTAACAGTAACTGCGGGTGGAACACACACAAACCTCCCGGGGGCTCCAGGGGTCCCTCCCTGCACCTCAGCAGTGGGGATTTGGGCAGGTCAGGTGTGTGCAGGGCAGGAGCCTCCTCAGCAGCTGTGGCTCTGAGTGCCTGGGACACTTAGAGCGTGGAGGAGGACCCCCAGGGCAGAGGGAAGAGGTTTGGCTCCCAGGCCAGCTCCCCCTCGGAGCGTTCAGGTGCTCCGGATCACTTTGGCGATGGCACAACCTGGTTTGGTTCGCCCGTGCCTTCAGCTGTGCCCCCCCGGCCGTGGAGGGTGTTCTGGTAGAGGTTGAGGGAGGAAAACCATCCCCCAGAGGCCGCTCAGAGAGGGGATTCGTAGCTTTGTGTGTGTTCCATCCCCTCACCTGTTGCTCAGAGCTATGCAGAGCGTCCCTAGGTGTGCATGGGACACGCTGTGCCCGCCCCGGTGCTGGCACGGTGGCCCTCGTGGCGACTGCTCTCCGTGGGCGACTTGTTCCCGTGTGGCACAGCCCGGTTTGGCGGTGGGAGGCCCCACTCTGCATAGCTCTGTCGCAGCAGTTTGACGTGGCATGAAATCTTTATCAGAGGAATCCAAGAAAGACGCGCAAAAGGGCTGGTTTGTGTGGGAACATCCAGCCTGGAATTGGCTCGCGTGGAACGCGGTCCCACGGATCTGCATAAAGATTTCACCCTCCCCCCCCAATGGTTTTATCTCTTAACAATTACAAAGTAGATGTAGACACCTGAAACGCCTATCATCACATCTTCAAATTTCTAGCCCCTTCAGAGCTTCTCCCGCCAAAGATTTGTCACCTTTTGTCTCTGATTTCACACCTCAGTCCCAGCTCAAATTCGCATCCCTAGTGAATTCCCAGCTGGCCAGACCCTTACAAAGGGTTCCCCCCCCAGCCTTATGGACGTAGAGTTTGTGCTGTCCATAGCACAGGTGGCCTTCAGGGGACGCCCAGGGCAGGTAGGGGAACTCGGCCCACCTTAGAGTGCTGTGGTGATGGATTTCAGTGTCTCCAGCAGGTAAGGAGCTCGATGTTATTAACGTGCCCTTTCTCATTGCCTCGATGATTTGATATTTGATGACAATGGAAAACTTTTTAACATGCTTTGTCGCATTTATATGCTACAGGTTACAAAGTGAGAGCCTTGTATACACCTCAATACTTAAAAAGTACCCGTACTCAGTACTCAGCCGGCAGCATAATGAAAAGTGGGACTAGACACGGTGTCCATATGGAGAGGAAAAATATACATAGAATATTTTTAACCCAATGTATTGATTGTATAAACGGAATCCTTCTGTAACTTTTGGTAACTGCATACTTGTTGTTTGGTAATAAAACCAGAGGAGGGTATACTACTACTTTAGAATTGTGTAACGTTAAAAAAAAAAAAAAAAAAGAAAGAAAAAAAGAAGAAAAAGTGTAAAAAAAAAAAAGTTATGTTTAAGAAAGAGAGACGTTACGTAAATGGTGTGTACTTTTAACGAGAGGAGGCAAAGCTGCATGCAACAGCTCGAAATTCTGTATTGACTTCTTTTTTTCCCAGTATTAGAGGTGCAATACTTGCTAGAAAATTCACGGTGCTCTCCCTCCTCCACTCGGCTCCTTCCAAACGGCTCGTCTCACCCCCCACCAAAAACAAAACAAAACAAAAAAAGAGCGAGAAACAGCCCAAATCCTTTTCCAGGTGGCATTTTCCTACTTAACCACCACGCTCCAAAAGCGGTTTCAGCTGTGAAAGCCTCGGCCAAAGCTTTTGGTGAAAGCTGTGGCCTCGTTCCCATTGGCGCCTGCCCAAAAGCCACGTGAGTGTGTCCACAAAGCTGCACCCCAGGCCTCGGAGCCCCCCGCTGCACTCTGTAAGTTCTCCCTCCAGAGAGTTGTTAAATTCAGTAGTGACCTGAAATGTATGGCTTTCTTTTTGAGGGTTGCAGGGGCGCTGTCAGCTGGACTTTTGTGTCGTAGGTTCTCGCGTTGGGGTTGTCTCCTTTTGCACTGTTAAACTGTCAGGGACCCGCGGGCCCGGCGCCGCCACAGGCCGAGGGTGCACCTCCGTGGACACACCGAGGGGAGGGAGTTGACCACTGAAACACCCCCGAATTTCTCTGAAACACACACCAAAAAAAACAACCCCCTTTCCCCCCTCCCTCGATTTCTAACACAAAGCCCCTTTCTTTGCCAAGTATTGCACCGATGATACCTGAGTAACGCCAGGGCACCGACGGCAAAGCGGTGCCTCGAGCCCACGCCAGGTTGCTTTATACTGTAAAGAGCATTTGAGCGAGCTGCCCTGAAGAAAGGCCTAGTGCCGAGATGAGACAGAGACAGAGAGATGTTTGGAGATGTTTAGCCAGTGCCCTTCTCCCCTGTGAGCCGCAGAGGCTCAGAGCGGTGCTGGCTTTGTAAAGGGAAAGGCCTTCATTTCTTCGTTTATCCCCCCAGCAGCGCTGGAGAGCGAGGTGGCTTCAATAAGCCTGGTGGTAAGTTTTTGAGCATTACAATGGATAGTGTTAAAAAAAAAAAAAAGCATTTGCAGACAGTTTTTTAGAACCAAGTGTAATTTTGTTATTCGTTTTAAGTGGTTTAAAATGACATATGCAACCAGACTGTAAATGGGTACTGCCGGCGACGCTAAGGGTTTTAATGCGGTCACAGGACGCAGTGGAAGAGTTGAGCAACCACTCACTGTAATTTGGGGAAAAGGAATGGTTTGGATGTAATAAATCTTTTCTTTTTATATTAAGTAACTTATAGTAGCGAACTTAAAAAAACCGATTGGCTTGGTATAACATTTATTTTTTCGTTTGTGTTTTTTTTTAAAAATCAGCGTAATAGTCGGTTAACGGTTTGAGAGCTGCTAAAAATCAGCGTGCTAGCGGTTAATGGTTTGAAAAAGTGCTAAAAAAAAACCAAAAAAAAACCAAAAACCCAGACAAAACAAAACAACAATGTAATAGTGGTTGTTGGTTTTGAAAGAAGTGCTAAAAAGTAGCCACCTGATGGCCCAGTAAGGTGCGGTGCTGCTGTTGGGGCGGCGCAGGTCAGTTGGAGGTTCCCCCTCCCGCCGTGCCGGTGCTGAGGCGTAGCTAGTGTTGTGTGTGTCGGTTCTCCGGCCCCAGGGCCCGCACTAACACCGCTCCCTGTGCTTCTCTCCCGCCTGGCAGGACACATGGAGGAAGGACCCGACCTGGATTTAGGTAATCCCCGTCAAAATCCCTCCCGAGCTTGGGAATCGGACGCTTGGTGTCCTCGGGAGCGCCGCAGGTGTCGCCCCACGGCAGGTGGAGCCGTGTTGCCCATGCTCTTTCTGGCTCTTCCCAGCGTTGCTTGATTCCCAGCTCTGATCCAAACAGCTGGACTGTGGAAAACCACACGTGGTTGTGAGACACCCACCCTTCTCTGCAGGAATTCGGGGGGTTGGGGACTGCTCAGGAGCTTTTCCGGGGATTCTGCAGTAACCCCAGGTTGAGGGCTGCTCTGGAACCTTTCCAGGAATTCTGTAGTGGCCCTGGGTTGGGGGCTGCTCTGAAGCTTTTCTGGGGATTCTGCAGTAACCCTGGATTGGGGGCTGCTCTGGAGCTTTTCCAGGAATTCTGCAGGAGCCTCCTCCCGTGCCACAGCAGCCTGTGGCCTTATGGGTTGTCCCTTCCTGTCCTACAGGCGTGTCTGGAAGTTATGTGTCAGCTTCCAGCATCGGAAAAGGGGGGTGGGATGTCCGTGTGTGGGAGCCCAGGGGTCACCAAGGTCTTCCTCATCCCTCCCCTGGGATGTGTCCCGATATAACCGGGGGGTTCTTCCCGCAGGGGTGGCTGTGGAGTCGGTCTGGCAGGACGTGTTCAGTCACCTCCCTCTGGGTCTGGGGTTTCCTGTCACTCACTGGGAGCGGAGCCACAGCTGGGAATGACGGGATGGAGGGAATGATGGGATGGAAAGAACTCGGCCCTGGGGTATCCCTGCCCTTCCTCTCCCTGCACTGACCCCGGGAATTGTCTCCTAGGCCCCCCTATGGACCCGGAGGAGGACTCGGACAGCACTGCAGTGTATGTGCAGGGACTCAACGATAATGTGACCCTGGAGGACCTGGCAGATTTCTTCAAACAGTGTGGTGTTGTCAAGGTGAGGGGTCACAGGTGTCCCCTGATGGCAGAACAGAGGGACCACCCTCCTCCTCCCTGCCCACTGCTCACATCCTTCCAGCCCATCAGGTCCCTGGGAGAGGCCTGTTGGGCCTGGCAGTGCTGGTTTGGGCCTGTTCCTTCATTTTTGGGATGTCTGGGCAGTCACTGTCACCCGTGGTAGGCCCAGGGGGCCCTTTCTTCTGCCCCAGAGTCCTCAGAACGAGCCTTGCTTGTCTGGAAAGCAGAACAGGGAGTAAATCCCTGCTGGGAGAGGGGACTCCAGGTGACATCCCGCTGTCCCTTAGATGAACAAGAGGACGGGGCAGCCCATGATAAACCTGTACATCGACAAAGAGACCGGCAAGCCCAAAGGTGACGCCACAGTGTCCTACGATGACCCATCTACTGCCAAAACAGCTGTGGAATGGTTTGATGGTGAGTGTGGGAGGGCGTTTGGGATTGGAATTCCCTGTAGGAAGCACCAGGGTGCAGGTGTGCGCTGACGTCCTGTCCTTGTGTCCCTCCTAGGGAAGGATTTCCAGGGGAGCAAGCTGAAGGTGACCCTGGCACGGAAGAAGGGCCCCATGAACAGCCTGAGGGGCGGGATGCCCCCCCGGGAGCAGCGGGGAATGCCCCCCCCTCTCCGAGGAGGTACCGGGTGGGACCCCCCGGAGCTGCTCCCTGTCCCCTCACCCCGCCCGTGGCTCTGGCACTAACGGGGCTCCTTCCCGCAGGTCCGGGAGGTCCTGGTGGCCCAGGGGGGCCCAGTGGCCCCAGCGGCCCCATGGGCAGGATGGGTGGAAGAGGTGGAGACAGGGGTGGCTTCTCCTCAAGAGGCCCTCGGGGATCCCGGGGAAACCCCTCTGGAGGGAGCGTCCAGCACCGAGCCGGAGACTGGCAGTGCCCCAACCCGTGAGTATCCCGCGTCCCCTTTGTCCCCGGGGCTGCCAGGACCAGGAGGCCTTTCCCAAAATCTCCTGCTGGGCCTTCCCAGGCAGCTCCTTCCTCCCACCTGGGTCAGGCAGGGAGGGAGGGAGGGATGGGGTCACTGCAGGGGTGAACAGGCAGCTGGACCCCACCCCAGTGGGGGAGCTGAGCCTGGAAATGAGCTCCAGGTCCTGTTCTCCACATGCTGTCCTGCTTGTGGTGCTTCCTGGTGTTCTCCAAGCAGGAATGTCATCCTGCTCTGGGCTGACTGGTGTTTGTACCCAGGGGCTGTGGAAACCAGAACTTTGCCTGGAGAACGGAGTGTAACCAGTGCAAGGCACCCAAACCCGAGGGGTTCCTCCCGCCCCCTTTCCCCCCTCCAGGTACGTGGGAGGAGCTCACAGCTTCACTTCCCAGTGGGATACCCCAGGCCTGGCCTCAGGCTCCTCAGGGAGCAGCTGGGCCAGCCCCAGGAGCTGCCAGGCCTTCACTGCTCTGTGAGCTGTGACATGGAGGCTGGGGTCACAGTTCCTCCAGGATCTGGGGGGCTGCTAATGAGCTCCCCTGTCTCAGGAGGAGCTGGGTGATGGGTGGATGCTGCACTCCCAAATCCCCTCAGAGTTCCTGGTATCTCCTGGGCCTTCTCCCGCCGCTCGTGGCAGAGCTGGATGTCCCGGGATCACGGGGGAGGGTACACCTGGAGCAGGCTGTGCTGCCCTGGGGTCGCTCTGAGGGTCTCTCCTCCCCCCCAGGCGGTGACCGTGGCCGGGGCGGCCCCGGGGGGATGCGTGGTGGGCGCGGCGGGGGCCTCATGGACCGAGGGGGCCCCGGAGGGATGTTCCGAGGCGGCCGCGGCGGAGACAGAGGCGGGTTCCGAGGAGGCCGCGGGATGGACCGAGGAGGCTACGGAGGAGGAGGCCGGAGAGGAGGAGGAGGAGGCGGCGGCCCCGGAGGACCCCCCGGACCCCTCATGGAGCAGATGGGAGGAGGAGGCAGAGGACGACGTGGAGGGCCGGGAAAGATGGACAAGTATGGATGGAGGGGGGGCAGAGTGATGGGGGGAGTGGGAGACCCTGATGGGGAAAGGGGGTGGGTGACACTGGGACCCCAGTGAGAGGGGGATGGGGGATTTAGTGGGTGGTGGGACAAATGAGGAGGGGGCTAATAGGTGGGGGACAAGTGGGTAGGGAGTGAATGGGTGGGGGGAGAACACGTGGGTGGGTAGCGGGATGAGCAGGTGGGGGGTGTGAGTGAGTGGGTGGGGGAGTGGGTGGCAGGATGAGCAGGTTGGAGAGCAAAGGGGTGGGGGGGTCGCTGAGTAGGTGGGCAGGTGGGTAGTGGGGTGGGTAACTGGGTTTCAGGGTGCATGGGTGGGGGGTTGAGGAGCACCCCCCCAGCCTGGGGAGGGCTCCTGGACCCCAGGACTGACCCATGCCTTCCCCCCCCATGCCCACAGGGGTGAGCACCGCCAGGATCGCAGAGACCGGCCCTACTAATGCCACTCCCCCAGAGCCTCATTTACTACCAGATTTATTTTTTAAACCAGAAAAAAAATGTTTTAAATTTATAATTCCATATTTATAATGTTGGCCACAACATTATGAGTCCTCCTTGTCTGTACTTTAGTATTTTTCACCGTTTGTGGAGAAACATTAAAACCAAGTTCAGCGGTAGTGTGACGAGTTCTTTCTTCCCCTCCCCAAAATAAAACCAGTTGTTTTAACGCGCCCCTTTCCTCCCCCTCCCCTCCCTCCGCCTGTAACGCTGTGAACGGTTGTGACGGTTGTTTTTTTAAATAAAATTCCCGCTGTTTGTAACCGCACCATTGCCGGCCTTTCTTGAGAGCATCCCTGGGAGGTGGGGGGGACGACACAGCCCCCGGAAAGGGTGGGATAAAGGGGTGGGCTGGAGGAGTGGGGTGAAGGGGTGGGATGAAGCGAGGGGATGAAGGGGGTGGGATAAAGGCGTAGCGGGGAGGAGTGGGATAAAAGGGTGGGATGGAGCTTCCCGGTGGGTCCCGTTGTGCTTCAGTTTCCCTTCTGGGATGAGCCGCACCCTGGGGGGGGTGTGGGTGTCGCTGTGTCACCCTCCAATGTGTCACCCCCGTGTCCATGACCCTCCCGTGCCTGTGGCCCCCTCCATGTCCGGGCCCCCTCCATGTCAATGCCTCCTTCCATCTCCGTGTCCTCCTCCATGTCCGCGTCGGTGCCCCTCTCCATACCCATGCCCCCCCTCCATGTCCTTGGCCGCCCAGTGCCCGTGTCCCCCCCTCCACGTCCGTGCCCCCTCCGTGCCCATCATCCCCCCGGTGCCCGTGCTCCCCCGTGCCGTGCCATCATCCCCCGGTGCCCGTGCTCCCCCGTCCGTGCCCATCATCATCCCCGGTGCCCGTGCTCCCCCCGTGCCGGTCCCCGCCCGCCGCCGCCTCCCCCGTCCCGGCCCTTTCTGGGCCGCCTCCAACTTCCCGGCCGGGGCGCGGCGGCGGCGGCGGCTCCGCAGGGCTGCGGCGGAGCCCGAGCCTCGTTGGGCGCCCCGGGCTCCCGGCCGCCCCCCGGGCCGCTGATGGCGGCGGGGGCCGCGGCAGGGCCCCCGGCGCTGGGAGCCGCGGCCCGGCCCGGAGCAGGGCGAGGGCCCGGCCCGGCCGTAGCGGAGCGCGGAGCGGCGGCGGTGACGGGGGGGCGGTGAGTGCGGCCCGGGGGGCACAGGGGGATTCGGGCCATGGGTGTCCCTGGCAGGTGCGGACTCCCCACCCAGAGCCGGGAGATCGCCCCGGAATAGGGACCCTCTCTCGCACAGAGAGGACCCCCCACCCCACCCCGGGAAAGAGACACCCCCTGATCGACACCCGCCCCCCCTCATGGAAAGGGGGACCCCTCGGGTATAGTTGACACCCCCTGGGTGTAGTGTCCCCCCCAGCGGGAGGGGGGGCACCCCCTCTCCGATAGGGACCCTCCCCAACAGCGACACCCCCCACCATGGGAAAGGGGGACCCTTCGGGTATAGACACCCCCCCAGCAGGGACAATACCCCTCCCCAGCAGTGACACCCCCCTCCCAGGGCAGAGGACCCTCCCCAATAGGGACACCCCCCCCAACAGTGACATCCCCCCTCCGAAGGTAGGGGACTCTCCTTAATAGTGACAGCCCCCCACCGTGGGAAATGGGGACCAGTATAGACACTCAGCCCCCCAGCAGGGACATCCCCCCTCCGATAGGGACCCTCCCCAATAGCGACACCACCCCCCAGGGAAAGGGACCACCCCGCAATAGGGACACCCCCCCACTCCAATAGAGACGTGTCCCCCCACCCCGAGGGCACGGGACCCCTCCCAATAGGGACATCCCCCCACCCTGCCCCGAGGGAAAGGAACTACACCCCAACAGGGATACCCCTCTGGCAAGGAAAGGGGACCCCCACCCCCACCCCCCAAAACAAAGAAAGCCCTCCAGCAGCAGAGACATCCCCAGGGAATGACACCCCCTTGCCCAGGGTGTGGGTCTGGGGGCAAGGGGGGTGGCAGTGGAGGTCACAGGTGCCCCCCCCCCGAGGCAGGGGTGACCCCCTTGTACCCCCCCCGGGGTCAGGGAGGGCCAAGGGGGTTCCTCCAGGTGCAGTTCCTGGCACTGCCATCCCTGGCCTTGTCACCTGCTCCCAGGGTGGGGACAGTGGGGTGGGGACACCCACCATGACTGGGCAGATTTTGTGTGGAGGGGGGGTCCTCTCTCTGCTACAGCCCCACAGTGGGGGGGACATGTGTGTGACAGGGGGCTCGTGAACCCTGGGGAGGTGGGGGTGGGACACACAGGGTGGAGGGACACAGGGTGGGGGGACATGGAATGAATGGGGGGACATGGGGTGGGGGTGCTGGGGGTCCTGGCAGGGTTCAGGCAGGTCCTGCACAGGGTGGTGACAACAGTGACCCTTCCTGCCCACATGTGGGGGAAACCAAGGCACAGAGGGGTCACCGAGGTGGCCAAACTCTGCTTTGGGAGGCACCAAAGTGGGGGTGTTTTTGGGGGGACTGAGGGGTGTCTCCTGCCCGTGACAGCCCCCGCTGCCCCCCACCACAGGCAGCTCACCATGGCCAACTCCAGCCACATCCAGTCGGCCGCCTCCAAGAGCATCCGCCCATTCCGCTCCAGCGAGGAGTACCTGGAGGCCATGAAGGAGGACCTGGCCGAGTGGTTCAACACCCTCTACGACCTGGACATCCAGGTGGACACCTTCCTGGAGAGCCTGGAGACGGGCTGTCACCTCTGCCGCCACGCCAACAACGTCAACCGCACCGCCCTGGACTTCCAGGAGCGGCACCCGGAGGCGGCCGCCCGCATGCGGGTGCCCCAGAACGAGGTGGTCTTCCAGGCCAAGAACGTGGTGCCCGGCTCCTTCATCGCCAGGGATAACGTCTCCAACTTCATCCAGTGGTGCCGGCAGGACCTGGGCATCCAGGACGTCCTCATGTTCGAGACCAACGACTTGGTGCTGAAGAAGAACGAGAAGAACTTCGTCCTCTGCCTGCTGGAGGTGGCCAGGAGGGGCTCCAAGTTCGGGATGCTGGCGCCCATGCTGATCCAGATGGAGGAGGAGATCGAGGAGGAGATGAGGGACCAAATGGGCGACGGCGCGCTGGGCACGCGCCGGGAGAGCCGGGACCCCCAGGCGGGCGCCTTCCCCAGCCGGGCCCGGCCCATCACCCTCTGCGACCTCAAGAACCTGGACGAGCTGGTGAGACACGCGCTCCCCTGGGAGCCCTGTGCCTGGGTGAGGGCCTCGGCGGCCACCCGGCCCCGGGCACCGCCAGGGCCCCTCTGCCCACCCAGCGGGCGCTCTGTGCTCCCTGGGAGGTCCTGTCTGTCTCTGTGGTCCATGGGAGGTCCTGTCTGCCCACCCAACCGGTGCTCTGTGGTGTCTGGGAGGTCCTGTCTGCCCACCCAGCGGGGTGCTCTGTGGTCCATGGGAGATCCCACCGGTCTCTGTGGTCCCCTGTCTGTGTGGTCCGTGGGAGGTCCTGTCTGCCCACCCAATGGGTGCTCTGTGGTCCATGGGAAGTCCCATCCGTCTCTATGGTCCATGAGAGGTCCCACATGTCTTTGTGGCCCCCAGGAGGTCCCCTGTCTCTGTGGTCCATGGGAGGTCCTGTCTGCCCACCCAACCGGTGCTCTGTGGTCTCATGGGAGGTCCTCCCTGCCCACCCAACAGGTGCTCTGTGGTCCATAGGAAGTCCCCCCATCTCTGTGGTCCCCAGGAGGTCCTGTCTGTCCACCCAACGGGGTTTTCTGTGGCCCATGGGAGGTGCCACCCATCTCTATGATCTCTGGGAGGTCCCTCCCATCTCTGTGGTTCATGGGAGGTCCTTTCTATCCACCCAACAGGGTGCTCTGTGGTCCACAGGGTGTTCTCCACCCACCCATCCCCAGCTCTCTGTGGCCACGGGAGCCCCTCTCCACCCACCCAGCCTCCCAGGGAGCCCCCTGACTCCAGGAGGGGTTATTTTGGTGACCATTGCCAGAATCCCGGGAGGGACACTGGTGCCACCTGTGCCTCTGCCACCTCCTCCCATGGTGGGGGGGCCCAGAACCTGCTCCTCCTGCTCCCACCACCTTGGGGCCGGTGTCCCCGGGGATGGAAATGGGGACATGGGGGGACAATTTGGGGTGTCACAATTTGGGGGACACCCCGCCCCCCCGGGGCCGGGAGCTCAGGAGGGATTAAAGCTGGGCTGGGTGCAGGATCCGGGACAGCAGATTAATCCGGGGCTGGGGGGACACAGGGGGGCTCTGCCCTGCCCTGACTCCCTAAGCCCAAAGCTGTTTTTTTAATTGAAACCCCAATTCCTCATTAAGTCCCTCATTAAAGAGCATCCTGCACCGCCCTCCTCCCAGTGCCGCTGCAAAGCGGGAGGGGGGGGCGGGGGGCTCTCCCCTCGCTGTTTCCCCTCGCTGTCCCCCCTCGTCGCTGTTGCTCCCCCAAGCCCCCCTGGCCGGGCGGTGCCAACCCCGGCTGCATTTTTCCGGGCTGCGTAATTCCTCACCATCGGCTTTTATGGGCAGTGCTGGAGCCGGGGAGGAGCCTCGGGAGCAGGATCCGGCCCCGCCGGTGCCCAGGTGCCCCCCTCGGGGTGGCGGCAGGGTCAGGACCCCCTCTCTGCCCCCACTCCCCCCCGCTCCGTGCCTCAGTTTCCCCAGTTCGGGGCTGTCCTTGTCACCCGCGTGGGGACCGGAACTCACGTCCTGCGAGTGCCCCCCGCGAGTGCCCCCCGTGATGGGCACAACGGCAAGAACACCCCTCCACACCCCCCCCCAAAAAAAAAAACCAAAACCAGAGGAGTTAATTATTAAAACACCCCCAAATTTCGGGGCGGGGCTGTGACCGCCGGGGCAGGACGTGGCCATGTCCCCACGTCCCCTCGTGGCTCCCGGCCTAATCCCTGACGTCAGCCCGGCAGATCGGGCCGGCAGCTGGCACCGGGCGCTGCCCGGCCATGGGGATGCCCTGCCCGGCCTCCCACATCCTCCCGCTCCCCCTGGACCCCCGACGGATGTTCAGCTTTAGGGGCAGGCAAAAAAAAAAACCCGGGATTTACCCCGTTTCTGCTGGTGGATGTGAGTCCTGCCCCACGGTTTGGGGATTAGTGGGGTCAGGGGGGAGTTTTGTCCCCACGTGAAGGGAGTTGTGCACGTTCTCAGCCTGCCAGGGGGTGCCCGGCCATGGGAAGCCTCCTACGGGTGCTGTGGGTGCCCCCCAACACTCGGAGCTGCTTTCCCCCCACCACCACCTGAGCCCACCCAGGTGCTTCCCAGGGGTGGGAGGAGGGAGCTGCTATCCCGGGGGGACACAGCCGGCTCCGCGAGGGGTCCACGGAGCCCCTCCGTGTGCTGGGCCGGGGGCCGGCACTATAGTGGGACCGCCCTATAGCTGGGGGAGGTCCACCCCGATCCCGGAGCCCAGCCCTATGTGGGCCCGCCCTATAGCTGGGGGGTCCACGCCCCACCGACCCCTCCCCTGTGTGCCCGCAGGTGCGGGAGATCCTGGGCTGCTGCTCCTGCCCCTCGCAATTCCCCATGGTCAAGGTGTCCGAGGGGAAGTACAAAGTGGGAGACTCCAACACGCTCATCTTCGTCCGAGTAAGAGCCACCGTGTCCCCCACCCCATTGTCCCCCCTCCCTCCTCCCCCCATCCTGAGGGACCCTGAGCTGGATTTCCTGCCCACCTCGGGGTCCCGTTGTGGCTCTGTGGGTCCCCCAGAGGGGATGGGACGGGCAGGGTGACAGTGGGGCCCCTCTCCAGGTGCTGAGGAGCCACGTCATGGTGCGCGTTGGTGGCGGCTGGGACACACTGGAACATTACCTGGACAAGCACGACCCGTGTCGCTGTGCTGCCCTCTGTGAGTGCCCCCGGGACCCCACAGACACCCCCACCCCGTGCCCCCTGCCTTGGCACGGTCTGCCCGTCCTTGTTCTCCATGGGGCTCCGTTCCCTGGGGCTCCTTGTTCTCCTTGGGGCTCCATTCCTTGGTTCTCCATGGGACCCCATTCCCTGGCTCTCTGTGGGGCTCTGTTCCTTGGCTTTCCATGGGGCTTTGTTCCCTGCTCCTCCGTGGGGTCCTGTTCCATGGGTCTCCATTCCCCGATTCTCCATGGGGCCCCATTCCCTAGTTCTCCATGGGTCTCCATTCCCTGATTCTCCATGGGTCTCCATTCCCTGAGTTCTCCATGGGTCTCCATTGCCTAGATTCTCCATGGGTCTCCATTCCTTGGCTCTCTTTGTGGCCCCATTCCACGGCTCTCCCTGGGGCTCTGTTCCGTGGGGCTCCATTCCCTGGCCCTCCATGTGGCCCCATTCCCCAAAGCTGAGCTCCTCAGGGTGCTGATCCAGCTGAAGGGGGAAAAAGGGGGTGAGGCAAGTGGGAGGAGTTGCCCAAATTAATTCCCGAGATGTTCACCCACATCCTGGGATAGCGCCGGGTGTGAGGGGGGCGGTGTTGGGGTGGGGGTGCTGAGGAGGGGGTTGTTGAAGGGGCTGCTAAGGGGAGGGTGTGCCGAGGGCTGCCCCCCCTGAGCTCCCCTCTCTCTGTTCCAGCTCACCGCCTGCCCCAGCCCCGCCCCCGGGCATGTCCCCCCAAAAGCAGCCCTCGGCCCCCTCGTCCCGCGCCTCCAGCCCCAGCACCCCCGGCGCCCCCGCCTCGCCGGGCCCCCAGCCGGGGGGGACAGTGGCCACGGCAGGACCGAGCGGGGCCACCAGCCCAGGGGGGCCGGAGACCCCCCGAAGCCGCCCAGGCAGGAGTGTTTGCCCCCCCGGGGCGGGGCGGCCCCCCCGTCCGGCTCCAACAGCCCCTCCCGCAGCCCCGCGGAGCCCCGCGGGACCGGCACGGCCAGGTACGGCACCCCCGGGACCCCAAAACACAGCCCCCAGCCCACCGGCAGCGCTCGGCCACGGGGGGAGAGTGGGGGGAATGGGGTGCTAATGGGGGGCAATGAAGGGGGAAATTGGGGGGCGATGAGGGGGGGAATGGGGAATCGTTGGGGAGCAGTGGGCGGTACTGGGTGTGGAACTGGGGGTAGCGGGGGGCTCAGTGGGGGTGCAGTGAGGGGAAATGAAATCAGTGGGGGCACTGGCAGGTACTGGGGGCAATGGAGAGCTGCAGTGGGGAATTTGGGGTGCAGCTGGGGGACGGGGGCGGTGTGGGAGGACAGTGGAGGGAGGGGTGCAGTGAGGATGGAATGGGGAATCGTTGGGGCAGTGGGAGGTACTGGGGGTGGAATGGGGGCAATGGGAGGTACTGGGGGCAATGGGGGTGCAGTGAAGGGAAATGGAATCATTGGGGGGCAATGGGAGGTACTGGGGGTGGAATTGGGGGTGTAATGGGCGGGAGTGGGGGCTCAGTGAGGGGGTACAGTGAGGGGAGTGGGGAATCGTTGGGGGCAGTGGGAGGTACTGGGGGTGGAATGGGCAGTGGGACAGTGAGGAGGTACTGGGGGGACAGTTGGGGGGTGCAGTGAGGGGGAATGGGGAATCACTGGGGGGCAGTGGGAGGTACTGGGGTGGAATGGGAGGGAATGGGGTGGACTGGGGTAACGGGTTCAGTGGGGAGTGAAATGAGGGAGGAATGGGAGGAATTTGGAGTTAATGGGGTGCACTGGGGGCCATGGGGGTTAAACGGGGGTGCATTGAGGGGAATGGAGGTCCAGTTAGGAAGAGCAGTGGGGGACAATGGAGGAGGACAGTGGGGTTTCAGTGTGAGGCCATGGGGGGCTTTGGGTGGGTCACGGGCAGTGGAAGGGGTGTAATGGGGGAAGGGGAGGGCAATGGGGGAATAAGGGGCAGTGGGTGGTAATGGGGGTGGAATGGGAGTTACAAGCGGGGAGTGGGGTGTGCAGTGGGGGATGTCATGGGGGGCAGTCGGGGGTTAAATGTGGGATTCAATGGGTGGGTCCAAAGGAGGTATGATGGGGTTTCAATGGGTGGGATGCAATGGGGGATTCAGTGGGGGTATAACGGGGGTTTCGGTGGGTGGGATGCAATGGGGGGGTGCTGTTCCACTTGTGGGGTTCCATGGTGGGGGGTGCAAAGGGGGAGTTGGTCCAATGAGGCGGTGACTTGGGAGGATGCAGTGAGGAGACGGGTTCAATGAGGGGTGGTACCCTGAGGGGGCACAACAGGGTGCTCACCACCGTCCCCCAAATTCCCCGCCAGGCCGCGCGCCTCGCGCGCTCCGCCGCTGCTCGGGCGACAGCGACTCCTCGGCCGCCTCCGCGCAGAGCGGCCCCCGACGCCCCCGGCCCGCCGGGACCCCTCCGGACCCCGCGCCGGGGTCCCCCGCGCCCCCGCGCTGCCGGGTCCCCCCGCGGGTCCCCCCGCGCCTCCCGCAGCCCCGGGCGCGGCCCCGCTCCGCTGCTGCTCATCCGCCGCCGCCCCGACGGGCAGCACTCGTGGGCACGGCCCGAGCCCCCCGCCGCCGGGGGCGCGCCCGGGGGGGCTCCCGGGGGGCGGCGGGACCCCCGGCCCGGCCCCGGGGACCCCGAGGAGCTGGCGCGGAGGCTGCGGGCCCCGCGCTGGCTGGAGCCCGGGCAGGAGCAGCGGCTGTTCCAGCGGCTGGAGGAGGAATTCCTGGCCAACACGCGGCTGCTCGAGCAGCTGGGGGACACCGAGAGCCCCCCCGCGCCCCCCGCCACCGCCGACTCGGCCTATTGCTCCTCGTCGTCCTCGTCTTCCTCCCTCAACGTGTTCGCCAAGCACGGGCTGCCCGCCGAGGACGGGCGGCGGAGCGGGAACAGCGACGGGAATAACAACAACGGGAATAACGGGAACAACAACGGGGTGTGCCCCCCGCTGCCGTCCAACCCCACCATGGGAGATGTGAGGCGCCGCTCCACCCTCTCCAGCTCCTCCGACGACAGCTGCTGCTTCCCGGCCTCCTGGGACAACCGGGAGACCCCCGGGAATCCCGGCTCCGACACCGACTGGCCGCCCGGGGAGGATGAGCTGCTGGAGATGGAGGAGACCCCCCTCGCCCCGGGGGTCTCCACGCCCCCACGGCGGCCCTGGGCCAAGCCCCGGCTGGACACGCAGCCCCACAAGGCGCCGTCCCGGATCCCCACCCCGAGGGGTTACGGGGCCGGGACCCCCGGCCCCACAACGGCAGCCCCAAGGCCTGGGGGGCTCTGCAGAGCGTCTTCTCCTCCTGCTGGAGCCCCCCTGGGCCCCGCGGGAGCGCGAGGGGCTGGAGGAGGACACGTGGCCCTGAGAGGTCCAGCTCGGTGGCCTTGGCACCCCTGGGGACATCCCGGAGCGGCCACTGGAGGTGGCACCTGTGTGCAGAGGTGATGGACGGGGCCCGGGGGTGGGCAGGACGCCTTCACACGGACACTGTTGGCAGTGGGGTGGGCCCTGCAAGGAGCCCCCAGGCCCAGAGGGCCCCGGGTGTGCCCCCACCCCCAGGGAGCAGCTCCATGGTGGGGCCGTGGTGGGGTCATGGTGGGGTGGCCAGAGCAGAACTGGCACCTGGGAGTGGGGCTGGAGAGCACCTGGCTCTGCTCAGCTTGGACTCTTCATCTCTTCTCATCTTGTTTTCTCCTCCTCTTCGTGCTATTCTTGTCATCCTCCTCCTCATCTTCTCGTGTTCTCTCATATTTCTACTCCTCTTTTGGCCGCCTTCTCCTTCTCTTGCCATCTCCTCCTTGGCCTTTGTGTCCTTCTCATCATCACCTTCTCTTCTTGACCTTGTCCTCCTCTTGTCTTCTTCTCTTCTTGGCCTTCTTTGTCCCCTTGTCATCACCCTCTTGGTCACTGTCTCCTCTTGTTTCTTCCTCTTATTGGTCATCTCCCATCTCTCTTCTCTTCCTCCTCTTCCCTCTACCCCTGAGATGACTTGAGGACGTGCAGCTTCTCACACAATTGGGATTTGAGGCTGGGGGGGGTGTCACTGTGTCCCCTCCAGGCCCAGCACTGCTGTGTTGATGTCCCCAGGGTGGGACAGGGCTGTGCCCCCCGTGGCCCCCACCCCTCGGGCCCTGCATGTCCCCCCAAGCCAGTAAAGACCAAGGGAGCTGCTCCCACCACGTCTGCTTGTCTGTCGGGGGGGGGTCAGACCCCCCAAGCCCAAGGGAGGAGGGGTCTGGGGGCCCCAGGAGGGTTGGGAGCAGTGGAGAGCTGGGGTGAGGGTGATCCCTGATGTCCTGCACTCCACTGCAGCCATGGGGACCCCTCAACTGCATCTGGGACCCCTCCAGGGGGGTCTCTGGAGCCCAGAGTGCCCCATGGCTGAGACCCCTCACCCAGGGGGGACACGGACCTGCTCCAGGGGCTGGGCAGGTTGGGGGGCACCAGGGAGGGCTGTTTCTGCTGGTGGTGACCATCCTGCTGTGACTTTGGGGGTCCTAAAGGTCTCCAGATACCTGTCCTGCCTCTCCCTTGGGAACAGGGCTGGTGTCCCAAGGGGTGTCCCAGAGCAGCTCCAGTGTCCCATGGCGTGTCCCAGTGCCCAGACATGGTGCCAGTGCCCAGCAGGATGCCTGGCAGGGGTGCCAGTGCTTGAGGGAATCTCCCAGAGCAGGGCTCAGTGGTGCTGCCCATCCTCACCAAGGACTGTCCCCCACCCCACAGGGACCAGCCACACCTCCCGCTGACCCTGTGCTCGTCCCCAACCCCAGGAGGGGCTCAGGGGCACCCTGAGCATCCCCCCAGATGGGGGTGCAGGGCCTTGGTGGATCCATCAGGGGCTCTGGGAGCAGAGCCTGGAGCTCCCAGGCCCATCCTGTCCCCGAGGGGTGACCTGTGTCCCCTGGCCATGGGCCATGTGCTGTGTCAGGCCTTGCTGGGCCATGGCCATGGCCACTAGGCCGGGCTTATCTCCCCCTGCAAGGCCAGGCCAGTGCTGGCAGGAAGCTCCCAGCATCCTGCTTCCCTCGGGATCACGGGGACAGGGCCACCCCATGTGTCCCCAGGGCCAGGTGTCCCCTTTATTCACCTCAAACCAGTGAACACACAGTAGATTTATCTTCCATATATTAGAGATTTCCTGCTTCGAGGGAGGGGGGACCCATGGCTTGATTTGGGGGGGAAAGGAGCAGTGTCACCCCCAGGGAATCATCCAGAGGGAGCTGTGGGGTGGGAAGGGGGTGAGGGGACACTCAGAGCCCTCCCAGCTCCACAGGGGGGTCTGGAAAAGCCCTTTTTTTTTCTTTTTTTTTCAACCTGCACATTAAGCCCTTCTGGGAGCTTTGGAAAGGTCTCCTTTGGGAAGGAGACCCTCTCTAAAGGGCTGGGGGCTCACCCATGGCTCTGCTGAACCAGGGGACAAAACCAGGGAGAGGCAGGAGGGAAGGGAAAGGAGCCAATGCCATTTTCCACCTGCTCCAGGTGCACTGAGCCCCAAATCCCAGGGGGATCAGCAGCCAGAGCCCCTCGATCCCACAGCATTCAGGGCCCCAACTGGGCTGGGAGAGAGCCCCCAGGTGCCATTCCCAGGGTTTGGAATGCTGAACCCACCACCAGACACCACTCCAACACACCCACGGTGAGTGGGGAAGTGGGTTTTTTGGGCCCTCCACCCCACCCCCCCAGGCACAGCAGCTCCCAGAGGGTGAAAACAGGGAATCTCGAGGGAGCAACACCAGCGAGGAGGACACGGCATCACTCACACACGGATTGCTACGGGGATGCAGGGCCTGGGGGCAGCCCCTCTGCCCCCCTGTGCTCCCCCCAGCCCCACCAGCAAGGGGGGAGTCCCAGGGGCTGCTTCCTTGGCAGGAAGGAAAGGAGACATGCACATGGATCCGGCCCCGCTGCCTCGGGCGGGAAAGGGAGCGGAGGAGGAGGAGGAGGAAGGAGGAGGAGGAAGGGCTGCAGCAGCACCTCAGTTCTTCAGGATGGTCTCATAGGCTTGGTAGACGTACTGGGACACCTCTGGAGCTCGGCATTTCAGGGATAACTGTGGGAGAGAGGGAAGAGGGGGGGGTCACGGCATCTGCTCCCCCTCAACGCTGCAGAGCCACCAGCCCCAAAGCAGAGCCCTGCATGCTGCAGCACCCCCTCCTCCACAGGGGCAGCCAGTGCCTCATTGCAGCTGGAAAAAGGATATTAACGGCACTGAACCCCCAAAATATCACCCCAGGGCAGCACATCCACATGCAGCACAGGCAGGGGGGCAGGCAGGGGCTGGATTCAGTGCCTGGCGCTCCGGGGTGAAGGGTTCCCCAAAAACATCCTCCTCTCCCAAGAGGAACGAGCCACCTCGGGGTGTTTGCTTAAATATTGAACGATTCTGCAATCATTTGGCTCCTCGAGCAGGGAGAGCTCGTGGAGAATCCTCTGGGATATGGACTGGCAGCTCTCCTCACCCCCAGTGAGACCAGGAGGGTGCTGGGGACACCCCGACCCTCCAAAACGTTCAGCTCCTCGTGCCAGCCCTGCCCGAAGGAGAGGCAGGAGGCACCAAGAGACTGGCAGGGCAGGGGAGGGAAAATAAATCAGGGGAGGGAGGAACATCCAGGCAGCAGCCAGAGAGAGCTCAAAGCCAGGGAAAAACCAGTGTGCTAACCTCCAAATCCTGCAAGGGCGGGCGGGCCGGCGAGGGCGGGCGGCAGGGACGGAGACACAGAGAGGTGAGAGAAGGTCACACAGCCCATCCCAACCCCAAAACCAGGCTGTGAGGGGCGTGGGAGGAGCACAGGGAAAGCAGGACATCGGGATGGCTCATGGGTGAGATGTGGAGGGATCCCTGCTGATGGCAGAGATGGGGAATGCTCCAAGAAGGGCATGGGGGATTATTTTAAGGGAGGTGTGAGGGTGGGGTGGGACCTCTCTGAGTCCTTTAGCTGCTCCCACGGAGAAGCCCAGCAGGAATTGTCACCCTCCCCATGCCAGAGGGACAGCAGGACTGGCACCAGCACCACCAGCAGCAGGGGGGGGGTCCCACCACCATGGATGTGCCACCCAGCCCTTCCCAGGCTCGGAGCAGGGAAGGCAGGGAGCTGCCCAGGGGGTTGGGAGCAGGTTTGGGGATGGGACACACCGTGAAACTGGGATTGCTGGGCTGGATCCGGAGCTCTGCCAGCACCCAGATGCCATTGGTGAGCTTCAGGGACTGGTAGAGCATGTCCTGGCCCTCCACATTCCTCTTGGCGATGGTGAAGATGTTGCTGCCTTGGAGTTTGCTGCTCACAGAATCTGGGAGGGGAGAGAGGGGCTGCTTGGACCTGCTCCTGCCCCATCTCCTCCCCTCCCTGTGATGGTCAGCTTGGGTATTAGGGAAAATTTATCCGTGGAAAGGGTGGTGATGCATTGATGGAGTCCCCAGTTCTGGAGGGATTCAAAAGCCATGTGGATGTGGCACTTGGGGATGTGGTGGCCTTGGCAGTGCTGGGGGCAATGGTTGGACTTGATGATCTTGGAGGTTTTTCCTAAACAATTCCATGATTTTACAATCCCAGGGTGGGCACAGCAACTGTTCCCAGGGCAGGGGCAACCCCAGCAGGCAGAGGAACTCGGAATCACAGGATGGTTTGGGTTGGAAAGGACCTCAAAACTCATCTACTTCCAACTTGCCAAGTTCCTACAGAGAGCCAAGGGCAGGAAAAGCAGCATCTCCTTCCTGGAAATATGGAGTGGACACAGGGGGAAGGAACTCTTGCATCCCATAGCCTGGGATAACTGGGATGAGCCACGACCTGAACGAGGGGTTGGGACCCACCTGCATTGAGGGAACAGTCTTTGATCTGGAACTGGGTCTCGTTCTCGTTGGGAATGTCCTTCCAAGTGGCCAGGAACATCTGCCTCTCTGCAGGGAGGAAGGACACCACGATGGAGCAGCAACACTGGCCACCCCACAGGGTGACAACACAGGGGCACAGCACTGGTGGCAGCGAAGGGATGTCACCCTGTCACCCCAGCACCCCCTCCAGCCGCTTTCGGGGGCTCACAGGCTGTGCCAGCCCAGGGAATGCGGTCGGGAGGGTCCCAGGGGCTGGGCTGGCACCCCCAGGCAGGTGACAGAGGGCACCACTCACCCATCTTGCCGTCCTCCACGAAGAGGATGTGCAGGGGGTACAGGGTGCTGAAGTAGAAGACGTCGATGTTGTTCTTCACCGCGACCTGGCGTGGGGGGACACGGCGGGTTCAGCTCCGGTGTGGCCCCCAAAGGAAGTGTCCCACCCCCTCCCACGGGTCCCTCTGGAGCCAGGAACCACACCCCCCTCCAGGACACACCAGGGCAGCCCTGCCTGTGCCCAGCTGCCAGCACAGAGCCCCCTGGACTGCCCACCTGCAGGTTGTTGAGGGGGTCCATCTTCATGACGGAGCCGACGGTGTTCAGGGGCAGGGAGATCTCCACGGACTGGTTGGGGGCCAGCGGGGCGTGGACCTGCAGAGGAGCTGCTGGGGCCAGGCCAAAGCTGGGGGGACACCCGGGGAGGGCAGGGGGTCAGGGTGGGGGGCAGCAGGGGATGGCACAAGGCACTGTCCCGGGGCTCCCCGCCTTGCTCCACCGGCAAACCAGGAACGCCCAGGAACTCACCCTGCTGCCCCTGCACAGCCCAGGACGGGGGTGCTCTCCTGTCCTGCCCACCCTGGGGCAGCCCCAAAATCTGCCCCCTTCCTCCTGCACAGACTCACACCCGCTCTTAGCATTCCTGCACCATTCCCTCAGGGCCTCTGAGGGAAGAGGAAGCAGCAGTTCACCGGGACAAACCGCAGGACAAGGCTCAGACCCCCGAGGAACAGCCTCTTCAGGCAACTTCTTAGAGGCTTCGGTTTGCTGCTCATCACCACCACAGCCATCAGAGAGAAGGCTCATCACAAGAGGCTGTTCCCAGCCCTTGCAGCTCCTCCTTCCCACCCTTTGCTACCCAAAACCACGGCAGGAGGTGTTGGGAAGCACCTCTGGGGTCACGGCTGGGATTCACCTGTTGCGGTTGAACTGGATGGCGAAGTCGGACATGACCTGCAGGGCTTTGTTGGTCAGCACGAGGTCCATGGAGATGGAGCCCACCTGCCTGCTGAAGGTGCCAGAGATCTCCAGCCCCTTGGCTTTCATGGCAGGGAGCCAGACCTGGGTGAAGGG